TTTTTTGTTTTTTATGTTTTTTGCTTAGTCTTCTCCCCAATAACAGTGTTAAGTATGAAGATAATTATTTCTCAAACAACAAGTTATATTGAGCAATCTTACACCTCAATTCCACTTGATAAATTCAATTTGCCGCATACGCTACGAGTTAAAAGAAAATTAAAAAAATCGCTAATAAATTAGCCCAAAATATCCAAAAAAGCAGCGTTTAAACTCCCATAATTTAGATAAAATTTGTCACAGGTGAGATTTTTATTTTGGGCGTAATTATCAGGACATCAAATATCTCACCCGAGCAAAATTGTTTTGTAACTTTTTTTCAAAATTAGAACGGAACAAAATTTCTGTTTTAGACTTCTTTTTTTCATGAAAATTAGTTTTTTTTGTATGATTTCTTAAATACTTATTTAAACACTACTTTTCATGCTCCCCAATGCTCGTATACAGCAATTATAAATTTTTGCTCTCAATACGTTTGAAATTTAATGGATTGTAACTGAGAAAAAGAACGATTATTAATATCATGAACCTAAAACTGACTATAAAAAATTTAGAAAAAACTTTCAATACTTATAGTTTTTAGATTGACGTTTTAGTTTGATCAAACAACCTATTTGTCAGTTAATTGAAAAAAATTGTACCAGAATGTCAAAAAATTCTAAGAGAGCAATTATACGAAAAGTGGTAAGCCAAAACGTAAAAATGTAAGCATTGTAAATAGTGAAATCGTAACAAGCACAGAAGAAAATTCGTAGCCAGCACAGTCGGATTCACTTGGTGTAAATATCGATCACGTTCATAGAGACGCGTGGTCCGAAGGAGGCCAAATTTATAACTATGACTACTCGGAACATCATCAGTTCAACAGGTCAACTTATGCTGCAAAACTACGCCCGTCTCCTTGGAAGCAATGGCTGTGGGACAAAGCTACGATAAAGCACCAAAATGTCCGGCATCAGTGGAGGTGTAGAGGCTCTCATAAATGAGTACCACACCCATTAGCGCTGTACGTTAACTTGATTCATTAACGGAAGGCTCAGATTGACAAAAAATAACATTCAAACACTTTTATAACATAGGCGCTACGCGCAATACACCGAAGGCATAGAAACTGAAGCAAAAACCAAACAACTTGAACAACTAATAATTGAAGAATAACAGTTCTAGAACAAAAAATCGTACTAATACATGTATACACCAAAACTTTGCTATATCGAGAAAGAGCCTGAAATAACAGTTCTAGAACTAAAAATTGTACTAACACACAGACCCATAATATAAATAAATGAAAAAAAATGAATTAAATAAATACACATACATAAATAATAAAAGCAAAACTAAATGAAAGAAAGAATAATAAAATAAATATAGAAATAAATATCAACAAATAAACAAAACGCACCTGATAAATAAATAAGCAATAAAAAAATAAATCAATACATAAATAAATAAATAAATTTTTAAATGAATACATAAATAAATAAATAAATATATAAATAAATAAAAGCAAAAGTGAAATGTACAAATAATTAAATAGACATGAAAAAATATATATGAACAAATAACCAAACAAACAGACCCATAATATGAATAAATGAAAATAAATAAATGAAATAAATACACATACATAAATAATAAAAGCAAAACTAAATGAAAGAAAGAATAATTAAATAAATATAGAAATAAATATCAACAAATAAACAAAACACACCTGATAAATAAATAAGCAATAAAAAAATAAATCAATACATAAATAAATAAATAAATACATAAATAAATACATAAATAAATAAATAAATAAATAAATAAATAAAAGCAAAACTGAAATGTACAAATAATTAAATAGACATGAAAAAATATATATGAACAAATAACCAAACAAACAGACCCATAATATAAATAAATGAAAATAAATAAATTAAATAAATACACACGCAGAAATAATAAAAGCAAAACTAAATGAAAGAAAGAATAATTAAATAAATAAACAAAACACGTGATAAAAATAAACAAAAATAAATATGTACATACATAAATTATAAATAAATATAAGCAAACTAAACATAATTAAATAAATAGAAGAACAGATAATTAAATAAATAAAGATGAACAAATAAAGAAACAAACATACGCAATCACGTGACATAGCGCGATATAGTCCAGCCCACATGATAATTGATAACTGTGGACGTTATTTGTCGACACTTGACAACAGACAACATTAAAAAAAAAACCCCGTTACACGATACCATAACACCTTGACTAAAGTCTTCGGTGTAACAATTAAGAAAATGCTTCTGATACAGTCTCATTGACAGAAAAATTGTATGAAAAGAGCAAAATGAGCAATTTTTCTTTGCTATTAAGTTTTTTAATTAGCATTTTTTTCATCATCTGGATTTACAAAAAAGCTTTTAGCTATACTTTGTTTCAAAAATTTTATTAAATTAGCAAAAGCATTTTTTTGTACTATGAAGTAGTAAGATAAGCATTTTTCCACATACCAAGATATGGTAGGACAAGCATCTTCTCCATAAAAGAAAAACCACAAATTTTTGGTTCAAAATTTTGTGTTTCATACGAAACACACTAGCCGAAGATTTTCTGTCATAGAAACACAGAGAGCAACTGGCAGTTACCACGCAGATAAATTGCATTTGGTGATATTAGCCATGTAAGTTGATATTAACAATTTTACAGAGAATGCTATACCAAACCGTAATTTTGTACAAGGCTAGAAAGTTTTACTTAAAAAAATTCAGTGGTTGAGAGAAGAAGCGTGTTTTCTTTTCAAGTTTATGTTTATCGTAGCATTTGAAAACCAAAAAAATCTTATTTTTTTTTTGAAAAAAACATTTTCTTGTAATTTTGGAAGAAAAACTCAATCTGACTACCTTATAAACACAAAAAAAATCAAAATTTGCTTTCGAAGTGTTCTTTGTTGAATGAAAAATAGGCATAATATATAATTTTTATATATGAAAACGTATGTTAAGCACTTGTTTATTGACAAAAAATTTTCCTGAGACCAAAGTTGTTCCCTTATAATCAAAACTGCCACCAACTTGCCACCAGAATCAAATCAACTTAGGACAATTTTCAAAATGAAAAAATTTCAATGGAAAAAGCTTGTCATACAATTTTCTTCTATGCAAGTTGTATGATTAGCGTTTTTTCCAAAGACTTCATATATGAAACTGTATTATAGGCATTTTTCTTGCATGAACGACAACCCGGGGAAATTAATACAAAAGATTTTATGCTCCTTTTCCAATAAAATTTCAGAGCGAAGTATAATTCTTTCATCTTGGGAGATAAAAAAATATAGAAAAATCAGAATGATAAAAATGAAAATTCAGAGGTGCAGAGGTGATACAACAAAGATTTAAGAAAAACATAAAAAGCCGAAAACTAAAAAAAAACTAGGTCATATAAACTTTCATAAGTCTCGAAAGAAGTTCACTCCACGCAAACATGTCAGACACTTGACACTTGATTTTGAAAACAGCAACAATGGAACAAATTTTACGAAAAGAAACAAAGCCGACACTCTTTGAGCAGACACAAATTGAGCCGAAAAAAATATGAATTTTAAAAAAAAAAGTTAAGAGTCCCACCATCAACATCAATGGACAACACTTGCACTTGCAACTACAATTAAAGTTGTTTATATCACAAGAAAAAAATTGTTGTGGCAACTAAGACAACAATTTCTGAGCTGAAACCACTTGAATCGACTGGGTATTTTTGGCGTAATTTTTGATTAACTGAGAAAAGCCAAAATGACCCATTTTTGTGGTAAAATTTTGGTCACGAATTTCGCAAAACAATTTACACCATATTAATTCTGCTAAAATTTTAAGCAAGTTTTGTCTTCATAAATTTTCACCTAAACTCAAACCAATTTGAGAAAAACGCGTTTTAAACTTCAAGTTTAACGCGTTTTGTCCGGTTAATTTAAATCAGCACTGTATATGTTCCAGTTTGAAAACGCTAGCTAATCGCAAACGTAAAAAATAGAAATTATTTGACAAGCAAAACTTTACCAACCTCATTTTTATTCATTTTTTATATCAGTGTTAAATTTTCTAAAGTCAGATACAAAAAAGACCGTGGTTATTATTAACCCTTAAACCTTTTGAGTCACAATACCCGAAGCACCTTATAGCAAGCATGTTACACGCTCGAAGAATGGCATTTTGAAAAGCGTGTCTTCGAAAAACAGTTCCATAAAAAACAGTCCAAAAAGTATGAAATTGAATAAAAACTTAGTACAATACAAAACATTAAGAAAAGCAGTCACCAGTAATGATTGTTTTTTTGATGCCGGTACGCCAAGAATTGGCCTTTGTCGAAGCAACATAAAGAAAAAAAAGTGAACGCCGCAGTCTCACCAATGTGTAGGGAGCTTTCCAACTGATAACTACACCAATGAGAGCTTTCCAACTGATGCGAAAATTAGAGTCGGTTATTGACACGCCTCCACCAGCGACCTTAAACCACACTGTTTGCCATTGAACTATTTTTTTTCCTGTATTTCACCGACTTTTTGGGCTGTTTGTTATTGAACTATTTTTTTCCCTCTATTTCACCGACTTTTTGGGCTGTTTGGTATTGAAGTGTTTTGTTTAGGAGCTTTTGTATGTGCATTTTCTTTAGAAACTTTCCTCTAGGCCAACTAAGTTATGGAATTATTCAATTTCTGATTATGGTAATTTTTGTATATAAAGACTGCTTTTTTATTTCGTGTTACAAAAAATTTTTGGTTTCAAACCTTTTGAATTTTTACTGGTGGAGAAAAAATTATGTCGCCATTAAAAACTGCAATCCGTATGTATATTCGTCATATGTTAAAAATTCAGCCTTAAATCTCAGGTACCTACAAATAAAACTAGAAAAATTTTAAGCTAAATTCGCTCATTTTATCGGTTAAAACTGGGACAACTTTCTTGCCCCGTGACTGTACATTTTTCTGATTAGTTTTCCGTTAAAAACGAACATTCATGATGTAATTTATTTTTTATGTACGTTAGTTTTATTGCTGATCGGTCTGACGTTTATTTCACACGGAGTTCGTTGGGAGCATACATCTAAACGAGCACCTGAATTTACAACTATAAAAGTTTTTCGAAAATAGTTTATAGTTTCTGCAGAATGTAAGCACAAGCTGTCTTTTCCCCATAATACTCTCCTTCCGATGATATTTCCAAAGCTTTCAGTTCAACTGTCTTCTGCTCGACTAGATTGTTCACTGCATGTTTGTAGTCCCCCTCCCAGTAGTCGTAATTGTGAGTGATGGCTATGATGCCTCCGGGTTTGGCCATTCGTATCACTTCTCCAAGACAGTTGCTACTGATAAGAACAAAATGAACGAATTCCTTCATGAATTCTAAAAGTTTTTAGCCATGTCCAAAACCCTAACTTTATTGAGCCTAGCCTAAATAAGAAAAACAAACGGTTCAGATCAAAAACTTTAAAATTTGCTTATAAAAATATAGTGAATTACCTGAAAACAACGTAAGCAACGCAAAAAGATGCACTTTATGATAAAGAATATCGATGTTCTTTGTTTAATAAAGCAAAATACAAGGAGCACAAAAACGATTGGTTCTCCGTAAACAGCTGAAAAACTCGTTGGTTGCTCCTTTCACTGGTATATAACCGGTTTTAATTAGTGATTTGATTTTAAAATAAGGAGCAAAAAATTAGTTTTTATATTACGTGGTCGAGCGATTGTTGAAGACGCCAACAGAAAACACGAGGTCATATGTATCGGACGGTACACTCGTCTCCTGAAACAAATTTCATCTTTATTTAATAGTCATTCAGGGGATTTTTTTATTATCAAAGAAGGCTACTTTGTTTTCAGCAGAACATGTTTATTTCATTTAACCTCTTGGCTAATAAAACATGTCTAGAAAGGATTAAATTTAGAAACAATCGACTATAAATATTAAACTGTACGTTGCACCAACTATCAAATTAATTTTTAGAAAACTTAATAAGCAAAATTAATTGGTAGTTTCCGAATCCTCCAAGCGATCTGTGAATTGGAACTGATTAGTGTTTCTGGCAAAGATGTCTTTATTACGTTTTAAAATAAGAACAGTACGAGCAGTAGAGATGTGACCAGTACACCACTAATACGGAGCAAAACGTCGCGATCACAAGCAAAATTCGTAAAATGGAGCTTTCCAATGCAAGAAAATACTATAGTTAGAAAGTAAACTTTAAAAACCTAGACAATTCGCAATTTGAGGCAATCGATTTACGGCCATTCATATATAGATATTGTAGCTCTCAGTTTAACCGCATATTGACGTTTTTGGTGTTTTTTAAGGGATTTAGCTGTATTTGAGAAGCCCATTTATTCAAAGTTTCAAGAGTTAAAAGCTCAGTTAAAAAAAGCTACTGCAGACATTTCTCGGTAGCCACTTTTGTAATCTAGCTATACATTCCAATATCGAGGGGAAATTTTTCTTTGTTTCTCTTTGTGAACACCGAGTTGCATGCTTTGTAAAATCTTTTCTGTGACTTTTAATTCAGTTAATTGTGTTAACAAAAATCTTTCAAAAAATTCACTTGCGACAACACGACCAAAAAGCAGCTTCACCAAGTTGAATAAAAAAGTAGAAATAAGCCTCGAATTAGCAAAAACTCAGCAACGTGTCGGATTCGAACCTGTGACCAAGCAAATTGGAGTCTGCTGCACTCACCACTCAGCCACCGAGGCTTCAAATGCCCAAAAACTAGCCACCAATAAGGTAGCTACATATGCTAATAAATTGCCAATTCGATGCAGCAAAAGTAGCACCAAATACAAAAAGCCACAATTTTGCATGTAATAAATTGGAAACCATAAATCCAAATTATGTTCAAATTATGCATTTCAATAAAATTGCGAGATACTTTGAGTTAGAAAATTTCTGAAACCGAGCTTTTTATCATTGTACTGCTGTTTGAAACAAATAAAACTTTTCGGTTCATTTGATGAATTAAAAATGCAGCACCTGTGTTAAGACATTTGAAATTCAAATTAGCAAAGAACATAACTTACGAAGAGGAAACAAGACCGACAATCTTTGAGCAGACACCAGTTGAGCCGAAAAAAAAATATTTTATGTAAAAAAAAACGTCAAAAAGTTTCAAGTCCACCTCAAACTACCCTGTAGTAATTAGTACCCGGTAGTTAAATTTGAATTTTCATGAAATTCAGCATGTCAGGTTCAGAGCATGTTAAACTAGTTGTTAACCCGAAAAAAGTCTTCACTCCGCTTTGATAACGCTTGCTAATCGCAAACGTAAACACTTAATGCTCCATGATGCTACATTCAAAGGACTTGCAGCTTTATTGGCCGATAACGTTCAGGTTTATTAGGCCCAGTATCTTTATTTGTAGATAACGTATCTAACTGGAAAACGTTCAGCTGTTTTTATTTCAGAACATATATCTCACAAAGCATAATCAATTCCACATTCTTTTCGTTTTTTGAAAGAGCTGCCGTCCATTCAAGACCAATCGAAATTGCATATAGTACGTTATTAGTTGCAAACGTGGCAAATGATATTGAGAACAAACCAATGCACATAATTGATGTAAAAAGACTCATCGCGCCATGAAAACAATCCACCCTTCAGACTAACCAAGTGAACGATCCCCACCCCAAAACTAAATCACAAATTTACAGAGTCAGCCAGCAAGCTAAACGCTGGACTCTGATTGGTTGAAAAAGATTATTTGTAACAAGGTGAACGACCTCCACCCTTTATTGATATATTAGGGGGACATACACGAGGGGGTTGTTCACTTGGTCTAAAAACTAGGATATCAATCTTACTTTATCTGGCCAGATGAGGTCAGAGAACCAATTGGAGTATATGTTCTTCTCTTTGGCCACCTGGTACATGTTCTCAGAGGGTTCCAGGGCATCCATCTGTCCAGTGTATCCTGCCCTCCTCAAAGCTTCCCCACTCATGCCAGTGCCAGCTCCAATGTCAATGAACTTGCCATCCTTAGGAACTAGTGTACCTGCAAATAGGAAAATGAACAGTTAAAAAACCAAACGCTTCATGAGAATGTGTTTTACAAGGCGTATATTTTTGGCTTAGTTTTACTGCATATGTCTCACTCCAGCGCCAGCTCCTCTTATGCCAATGTAGTTGTCGCGAATGATTTTCAATTTTTTAACATTTTTTGGCCGAAAAAACAATCTGTCATTAACTGGATAAGATTCAAATTTTAATACGATTTCATGCTATTTGAGCTTATCGGAAATTTAATTGAATAGTTAATGATCAAAAGTCAAATTGAAACTCAAATTGAAAAAAAAATTATTGATAGCTTAGCAAACATAAGTAACATCATGAAAAAATTAAATGTAATAAAATGAATTTTTTTTAAAATTTGAGATTTTTGTGAAAATCATCCCCCAGACGCCAAAATAAGTAAAAAGTGATAAATATCGCTCCTAGTAACAAATCAATTATGGCAAATAAGCTTCCTTCAACCAATTTGAAAAGATTTATATGACGGATTAAATCTCCGCTTACGCGTTTATAGCGAGAAATATATCGCGCGTTAATTGTCTCAAATCGGCCAAAATGACAATTTTTATACCCCCATAACTTTACGAAAAATGATCACAGGTGAAATATCTTTTCAAATTTAAGCTCATGACAACAATACCGTTCGAATGATATAACAAATCTCGTCAAAAAATCGATATTTGTCTGAAGAAAAAAACCCACCCCGAGCACAAATATTCAGTTACTTTCGTTACGAAAGTCGGAACAATAAAAGCATCTTATTCGGACCTCTTTCTCTCAAAAGCTTTTGATATGCCAAATATACATCTTACTTCGTGCATTCTAGTAGATTACGCTGATGATCTAACCAGCACTGTAAAAATGCTTTTAAATCCTTTCTTTTGTATTAGGCTAATTGTTCCGTGTGAATTCCTTGGACAGAAAACTAAATAGCTTTTTTGTTACTCAGCAAAATGTCAACAAGCTTTTTACAGGGCACAATTAACAGCGCACTGTAAAAAAGTGCAAGAAATAAGAATTATTAGGCGGTCAATTAGAACAAATGGTTCCATTTTAGATCACTATTCGCAGGTACTTTTAATACTTGGCATACTTTATAAAAAAAATTATAAAAACGGTGGCGAAGGTAAAGTAGATATTCATAAAACCAATTTACTGCCTGATAACGTTTGTATTTAAAAAGAGAAAAAAAGCATTGGTGCATAGGTTAAAGGACTCTTTTATACTCAAATACCCTGAAATTATTGGATAAAAATTTGAGGTGTGATTTCATGATTACTACGTTCTGCTGCCAGATGGGGCTTCTCGCCCTTAGCGTATCTCCGCTTAACGAAAAAAAGCTTCAGACGACATTCTTTTCAGAAAGTAAGAGTTGAAATTGGTTCTCATATTATTGGAAACATCAATTTCTAGTACAAAAATCATTTCTTCACGACTCATCTTCTTTCATACTATTAGAAATGTAGTCTGATTTTCAAGCATACTGATATGCCTGTCGTTTCAATTTCCTCCATTTTTTTGAGTCCTATGTTCCATTAACCGGAAAATTATTTGACAGACCAAAGGTGTAGAAAAATTGGGAATCGAATGTGTAAGTATTCACGCAAATCCAAGTTCACAAATAAACGTCGTAATTGGTCAATCGATATATTGTATACAAGGCTTTTCCATGTTCGAGCTGCGAAGAAAATTTCCGGAAAAAACTCCCGGTGTCGAGAAAAACAGGTCTGACAAATTTTCATTTTCGTGGGAAAAATTTAGCGTTTAAGTAAATGATATTTATTTCACAGTTCCTATTTTCAGGTCCCATATTTCTCCTTCAAGACAAGTTTTTATACAAGATTTTTTTTTTTCAAAAATGATAACCATATTACGATCCTTATGCTCTACTTGAACAGCAACCGGCTAGTTTTTTACATTTGCTTAGTCTCCGGAGTTAACACAGAGCCTAGAATTCACCTTCCAAACACGAATAAAAACGTCAAGATACGGCAATGATCTTTAAAAACTCAACAAGATAACAAACTAAGCCAAAAAAGCTACAAAAGGATCGTGCAGTGCAACAGCCGGAAATCAAACCATCTATGCTGCGTCATGAACGAACAATTAAACAGTTCACTAGATCTCTGAAATCTTATTAACATACGAGACGCAGAACGTCGTGAGCAAATCAAAAATGGTAAAAGGGAGCTTTACAACGTAAGAAAACACTATAGCTAGTAACTAATTTTTAAAAAGATGCGGAATTTCGCTTCACTTGCGATACAAAGTGAATGGCTATGATTACCAGAAAATGAAAAGATAAATCAAACACTGAAAAAAACGTAAGCAAAAAAATTGCAAAAGGACAAAAAATTCCTGGAACACGTTTTACCTGCTCCGTTAGGAATTTTACGAAGAGCTTGCAAAATGCTTATAAAAACCGAACCTTTCAGCGGGACCTAAGCCGGCACATTAGCAGATATGAAAGTCTAAATTATTCGAAAATTTCACTTCCCACAAAAAGAGGTCCCGGTTGGAATCAAACTTCAGCGATGTATCGTCTCACGCATGGGTCTTACCACTGCACCAAATGCACAGAAGACTCGTTGAATTTATAAAGAAAAGAACTACCAAAAATGTTCAGAAACATCATGAAAAAAAATAGGAAAAAAATAGTCAAAACTTCTTGCAACTCAACTACTTTCCCAAAACACTGAACTAAATTTTAATTCGAGTAAAAAGTGCTAAAATTTTAGGCAAATTAAAATTAGGCTACGCTAACTCAAAAAGCAGAAAAACAGAAGTCCAGCAAAGATTTTTGACACGCGGACAATTTTCAGCTTCCTGGCCGGATTCAAACCATTGACCTTTGTATTTTTAGGCAGGTGCGTTAGCTCTTCGTCACACGCTCAATTTAACGTTTGACTTTTGATTTCATACGAACCGTAAACACGAATAACAAAAACGGCAAAAATGATCAGCAAAAACTCAACAAGATAACAAACTAAGCCAAAAAGAAAAGAGACGTGCAAAAGGGCTTGCAACAGCGTGTCATGAACGAACACTTTTTAAGCAGTCCACTAGATTGCTGAAGTAAGTTTTAACCCAGGAAAGAAGCAGCTTGTCCTGTGGCAAGCATAATCGTAAAAGGGATTGTTGATTAAAAAATAGGATTGTTGATTAAAAAACTTTGAAAAACATAAACAATTTGCAATATACGGGAATCGAAACCCGACCTCCACAGTCGAAGTCATTTGTCTTCACAACTGCGCCGTAGTACTCTCAGTCCTTAAAATCAATCCAACATGCTATCAATTTTCCAAAAAGATTAGAGTTGCAGACAGATGCTGAAATTGAGGACTAACTTGTTGAGCATTAATTTGAGCACTCTTTTGCTCAGTAAGTCTTTCACACATATTAGAAAAAAAAATTCTAGGCAGGCATGAACGCGCTTCAATTAAGTTGATACAATTTATGCTAATCAATCACCTTAAATTACCTAAAAAAATTAAGCTGTACATTGTTACTGAAATATATAGTTACAATTCATAGAAACAAGCGTTGATTGCGCAAAAATGAAGAGAATCTTTTCGATAAGCTTTCGGGCTCATATTAGAACAAAATATGAGCTCCGATTGAAAAATGAGTTTCAAAACCAAAGTAGATGTCAGTCATCAGCATAAACAGGAGCGATAACAAAGTTCAAGATTCGGTGAAACAAATAAAACTCTGCCATTTTGTTACAAAACCTCGATATCTACCCGTTTAAAATTGGTCGAACTAAATGGATTCAGATTTTGGAAGAGTAAATTTCGATCAACAAACCTGATTTTTGTTCAAAATTCTTCAAGGTTTTCATGCAGTGATCAGGAGCGGAATAGTTGAGACTCTTCAGAGTTTGTTCATACTCGTTTGCTGTATTCTCGTAATAAGTCAGCTCATCAGCAGGGGACTTAATTGTCGTGTAGAGATTTTGAATCCATTTACTATCCTTGCCTGAAGCTTGTTGAGAATCAGTCATTATAAAATCTTTAACACCGAATAATAATCAGGCGGAAGAAGTTTAAATCAATTATGTTGAGTGAATTATGAATAACATTCTTCGCCCATAAAATGTCGTCATCTTGATAAGATAAGATAAGGAAGCGTGCAAGTTTGAAACTAAATCAATTAGAAGGTCATAGTACATGGCCTGATTCGCTTGCTCGCTCTAGAATTTCCAAAGCTATACTGGAAAATTTGCATTGAAAACCAGAAGAGTTTCCATTTTGAGAATGGATCATGCAACCAAATATGACTGAAAACAGCACTATGTTTAGGATGGTTCTACGAAAATTCTTATTCGAAGCTTAGTATAGATATACGAATGAGGAAAACAAACAAATTTACACTTGAAGCAGGACTAGCCGATAGCTAGTAGCTTTGCATATATCACAGAAATTATATTTTTGCAGAGAATTATCCCAATACCTTTTTGGGTTCCGGAAATTGCTTGAAAAGTATAAAGGAGATCTTGAACAATAAATTGCTTTAACCTAGGATCGACCGAAAGCAATTTGAAGCAGCTTCTAAGTCCCCACGTGACTCACTTTCTAAACACTCATTAGGCAAAACACAAAATTTAGAAAAAAAACATCGTCGACGAAACAAAGTCGAAATGGATAAATGTAAAAAAGCCCTAGTTTTTTTTTACATTAATCCATTTCGACTTTGTTTCGTCGACGATGTTTTTTTCAAAATTTTGTGTTTTGTCGAATGAGTGTTTAAAAAGTGAGTCACGTTCAAAATGAGTGGGTACCAAATAAGTGAGTACCAAATAATTCTTATGTCTCGATAAAAGTTCATTCTAGGCAAACATGCCTAGCAAAGCATTTGAATATCTAAATAGCCAGAACAAAATTAACGAAGCAGAAACAAAGACAACAATCCTTGAGCAGATACCAGTTGAGCCAAAAAATGATTTCGAAAAAAAATTAAGTCCGCCCTCAAACGACAACGAACAACACTTGCAACTATAACAAAAATTTCCTACCTCACAAAATAATCCGCGATGTGGCAACTTAGCCGACCAAACTTGAGCAGACAAACGAAAGCCAGAACAAAAATTCAATTTCATAAATAATGAAAAGAAGAACAAATACCATCCGGGACTCGAGCTCTCTGCCTTAGAGTGCACAGGTAATCACGCTATAACTAGGCCAAGTAAGTATGAACCTGGAAATTGTCAAGGTTTCATAATAAATAAATAAGAAAAGCAAGTATGATTTGTAGGAAAAGTTGTAGAAAGGAAAAAAGTCTGAATCCCGATTAAAAGACACTTGCATGCATTTGTAAAAAGTTAAATACATTTTTAATATAAGCTACATGGCTCTACTCTAGCTATTTATATTTGACCTCATTCTTTCTGTTAAAACAATTTTAGGAGGAGTAAGAGATTTGTTTTTCACCCGTATGAGACAACCGAGTATAATTTTTAAATCAAAATTGTCCAATCGCTTTTGACTGTTCATGAAGGCAACAAAATTGGGAGACCATCAAATGAGCTTAGGTTTTTTTGTTCCAACCATTGAAAATGGCTAGGATTTTTGTATTCGAATGTGTTGTAGTTTTTTTTCTTTTTTTTAAATGTCCAACAAATTTTCCTGCTGTCATGAAAAACCTGTTTAAAATTTTCGATTTTTAAGTTAAATGTCGAGCTAAAATACGATCGAGTAGCGTTTGTTTTATGAAAATTATTTTTTTTTAAATTTTAGGCTCGCAAAATTTGATTTTATTATCATGAAAACTAACTGGTTTTTGATGTTTCTTTCAGCGCTGCTTTGACAAAAAAGCATTCAGAAAAAACTTTGTATAAAATCAGAAATTAAAAAAAACTTAAAAATGTTTTTTTTTTCATTTTTTGTGTGGTTTTCATTTTTGAAAACAAACTTTGTCGAGCATGCCTAATTCACTTATTCTATGCGCGACGGTAAAGTTCACGATTCATAACACGCACTATAAACAAAAATAAATAAAAAAAAATAAAAAATACTTTTTTTCTATTTTTTCATAAATATGGTCGGAACATTCTGTGCTACTTGCACAGCCACCGGCTATCCTAGTTTGTTTTTGTTTTTCACGCAAAATAAGGTACCAAAAACCATCATTGGAATGAAACGAAAGATTATATCATATCGAAGCCCTATCAGTCGTGATTCGAACGACATAAAATTTCCAAAAAATTGTTCCAGAATCGAGAAAAACTAGTTTAAAATTTTTGATTTTCAGTCAAATTCGAGTGAATAAAGCCAGCGAGCAGGCTTACACTAGCTTATTTACGCTTTATTTCAGACGTGAAGACATATTTTAGTTGAGTAAAGTTAGTCTTTGGCGTTAATAGCTCCATTTCGGGAATCAAAATTTTGGGAATCAAAAATGTTCAAAAAACGTCAGCACAAAAAGTTTAATCTTTTTCGCTCGTTTTTTCGTTTATCTAGTCATTTTACTACAAACCACACAAAAAAATTGACACTTATTTGAACAAAAACAACTGTGCTTTTTTTAAGAATATGGTTGGAACATTCCGTGCTACTTGCACAGTAACCGGCTATCCTTGTTCACATTATGACCTTATAAACTCAAGGAAAGTTAGTGTTGACTCATTGAGTTAAATGATCTCACAAACAAGGAAGTTAGAGACATATTTTTAAAAATTAAATCAACGTAAATCTCTTCTTATTTGATCGAAACTTAATATCAAAATTTCTCTAATATCAAAACTTGAGAGAAAGAACATTATCTGAACTTAATAATCTAAACAAAAAATTACATCTGAACTTCTTTTTTCTGAGAATTTGCACAGAATCTTAAAGGTTTATCCTCTTCACACGAGTATGTGTGTCCTCGGCATTCAAACCAAGTATAACACAAACGCAAAGCTGCATCATTTAATTACAAGCTAAAGATATCGCGAAAACAAGCTTTAAATACCTTGATTAGTTGTTTTTCTCTCAAATCACAAAACTTTCGTTTCGTGGCATTGTGGCGCTCCGGCAGTGATGGTGCCCAGCAATCAAATGATTGCTGGTTCAAATTGCACGCGCGACGCAATTTGCAAGGTGAGCCCTTGGAAGTGAGTGAGCTTTTAGAAGTGAGTCTCTCGGAAGGAGGTCAAATGGAGGCTGGTTATATGCGCTCTTGTCAACTTAAATAATTATCCTGGGGGTTAGTCCTCCGGACGGACTGGTTGACTAAAAATATCAATGGTCACAACCATTAATAAATGGTCAACAATTTACTGGTCATAAACGGTGCTTTAAAGCATCTTTATTCAATTTGAACCCAAAACTGCAAAAAAAATCAGCTCAAACATAAAAATGAAGTTTAATTGAGAAAATTTAATTTTCTAACCTCATATACAAAACTTTACAATTAGATATTTAAAGTCTCGCCAAATTTTTCATTTTCAATTTCAATTCATCAACTAAAAAAACCTCTGATATCCAGTGATTGTTTATATTTTAGAAACAGCAATATTTATTTTTCAATTTTTCCTCTTGTTTTAAACATATAGCAAAATGAGTAAAATGCTCAATAACTTTTTAACCCACAAATCAACCCATGGATAAAGGAGGTCAAATAATTTCAGTTGACTGATTGTTAATTTTTATATATTTATATGCAATATATATATGCACAACCGTTGACAACGCAACACAGCTAAAAATATGCTATATCATTTTGCAGCGCTTGAATCATGTCATATGTTTTACCCCAAAAGTTTTTGCTGTTTTCATTAATAACCTTCAACATGTGATCTCTTGCCTCTCTCTCCGACAAATTAAGCTTGAGACGGTCTTTTAATTTTGGAATAGTTTGACCTCTAAAGCAAGGCAGTCCTGTTTCCAGCATCAAAGTGACAATGGTAATAATCTCCTCGTGGTAGGGTCTGAGAGCGAGGAAACCCTTTACTGTTAGTTCTCGGAACAATCTGTAAAATGGTGGTTCAGTGATCACTGTTTTCGGAGTGTATCCCGCACACATTAAGTCCACGAATTCGGCAGTGAGTTTGAAGTCGGGTTCCCAATTGAGGTTGTTTCCTGGTGAGGACTCGAACAGAAACCCGAAATCGATGTGAATCACGTGACCGAACTTGTCAATCATGATATTTCCGTTGTGTCTGTCCTTGATTTGCATGATGTATCCCACTACACTATAGGCAGCCATGCTGATCACAAAATTACGTCTCGCTTCCTGAAACCACAAGCAAAAATATGACTTCGCATACACAAGCAAAAATATGATCGATAATGCTACTGGGAAAAACTGAATGAGTAAAAATTTGAGTCCACTTTCCCACCCCCCCTTGTAAAATAACAAAACAAAGCTGTTCAAAAATTGTTCACACCGCATTTTGCATGTTATAAATTATGTGAAAATTTGTTCACCTGTTCACGCTGACACGTTATAATGCAGTTTTTAAGGAGGCCGGGGGCTAATAAAAAAAATGCAGTTTTTAACATGAAAACTAATTTTAAATAGACATTCCTAAAATGAACTTCAGAAAAACAGTCAATTTGAAGAAAAAAAAAGAAATTTACCATTTAACATGCCTCAATTTATAGAGCGGACGCATTTTAGCTAATATACGAAAAAGTTCATTAAAAGCATCCAACCCTGCCCAGGTTCAAACCCTCTTATTTTGTTGCGGGTCTCCTTTGCTACCTCTACGCTACAGATCCATGATAACTTGAAGTTAAAGTACTATTTGTAATATAATAGTCTGTGTTAATATCCTTGGCATTGGCTGTAGGTAATTGCTGGTTTTTGATCTTATGCACATACTGCAATTGAAGAACACTTTCAAAATGAATACAATTATTTGCGACTTAGGTTGAAAAAAAAACAAAGAATTCATTCTATCACACGGCTTTGCTTGTGTATAAAATAATGCTTATATAAAAAACACGCGAGAGTGAACTTATTACTTTAAATTAATCTATTAATTAATTAAATTTGTTTTCAAAAAAAATATTTGCTAATAATTTCCAAAACTAATACAATAAAGAATCGCATCATGGAAGGCCTCTGAAAAAGCCAGTTGCAAATTGTTGCTCCAAAAATTCTATTAGATATTTCCAGTTGTTTTAATGTTTATGAAATTCTTCCAAATTTTGATTTAATGCAAACTCACTTGGTACTCTCGACTGGATTGTTCCCCAAACATGTTAATGAAGTAGAGATTCAGAGACTGTTCCGCCGTCTTTCCCAACTCATCTCTCGTCCTGCTATCCGGAACACACTCGATAACACCACAGCCAGGAGCAGTGGCCACCACCTTATAAGGGAAGAGGTAGAGGTCCAGACCAATAGACTGGAATATGTTCTGGAACAACTGGATCAGTTGCAGACACAGCATGTCTTGACGACAGTCATCGCCCACTTTGAAGATGCAGCCTTGCACGTAAGTCTTCGCCTCTTTCTTATGATCAGTCTGACAAACAAATGCAACACAGGTTAACTCATTCAGTCGATAACGGGGCGGACTCAAAATTTTATCAAAATAAATTGAATTATGATTCTATTATACTTTCATGAAATCTAACCCGTTCAATTGTTCAAATTGATAAGTAGCAAAAGTACCCTAATTCTGTTTAGACTCCAGAATATTCCACTTTTTATTCACCTGGCTAGTTGCAGTGGTCGTGACCGACACAGATTTAGCATCTCCTTTATCTTTATCAGATCCTTTGCGCTTCTTGTTCTTCTTCTGGACGAAGAACTTGGCTAAGAACGGTGCCTTGGCCGCACTCTGCATCGGAATACCAGAAGAGTAGTCGATACCAACCACCTCCGCATTTGGATCTAAAAACAGAAAACTGTAGCCAAAATAGTCACAAGATCAGGGCTCTTTTCTAGTCCTTTTTTTTCTGAACTCGATTTACGGAACTCGGGTCTTTTTACGTATTCCTTCCAAGTTCGCAAATCTCAAAATCTTAAATACAAAAAAGGCCCCAATCTGGCTGAAATTAAACACGTCCGTTATATATAGTTCGATTGAAGCCACAAATATTGCAAGGTAGCGCTTCAAAAAAATTTGGGCGGAAAAGTACAAAGACTCCGCAAATTAAATAATTTATTTTTTCCCATCTTTTGGAATACTGGTTTGCAATTTGAGTCCAAAATGTTGACACAGAGACATCTTTTTTGGAATCCCAATCACGATCAATAGGGCTTTAACATGATACTATATTTGACCCCGTGCAAATTTTCGTGGGTGTAGTCAAAATCGAGAAAAATGCACCTTACGCCATAGTTCCTTCCCAGCCTTTATGAGAGCGGGGGTCGGAGCTCAAGTTCATCGACAATCAAAAACAATCCTTTGTCGTTGTCTTGATGATGCTCGCAGGTCAAATATACTTTGAAAACGCAACGAACAATTAGTCCATCCGAAAACTAATTAACAACTCACGATGTCAATTAATAGTCCAACAAGTACATACCCGTAGGAAGATAACATCCTTTCCTCTCCCCTCCCACTTCAATATTCTTCAACAGTCTCTGACACTCCGCCTTTCTCTTCGGTCCCTTCTCAAACGGTCTTATCTTCCCACTAATCGAGGTCACCTCATGGAAAAATGCAAACTCCTTTCTGTACATTTGTTCCTGCTCAGGCGTGAAATTTTTTTTGATCTGTTCTACCAAATGTAGGCATAAGTCGCCAATTTTCTCATCTTTTAGGTTCTTGTCTTCGTCGCGATAGGCGTTCGTTTCCATGTTCCAAATCAACTGATGTGCCAGTATTTCGTACTTTTTGGCAGCCCATAGAATGAACTCTTTGACGTAGCCCAGTACATCATCGTATCGCAAACTCTGAACTATCTGTGGCACGAAGAAGATTAACACATCTTCCGGATATGACTAAAACATACAAGATTCGAGCTCATTGGACCTTTTAATTTCTTTAAGGATATTTTAGAAGTCGGAAACAGCTGGCAGAAGTGTGCTGAGTTATTTTCATGTATTATAATATCAAAATCCTTTACCAAAAAATGTCATTTTGCAAAATCTCAAAGCACAAAAAAGATCGGCGTGTGAAATATTTAAGACAGGGGCGAAGCAGAGCTTCGCGCCACTTGCGATACAATACAAACATAGCATGACAAACTTGCAGACCGAAATTGAGACGAAAGCCGCCAAGTGGAAAAAATGTTATGAAATGACCAGAAACGCTAGATCTACCAAAATTTTCGTCTTAAACGAAAGTCACTTTTTTGAAGAAAAAAATTACGAAAAAGAAAGTTTAAAAGTACATTTGCATAGAAACAAAGCTGTATTAAAACCAAAAAATGAGCCCAAAAAAAATTTCATAAAAAAAAACTAAATTAAAACCTTAAAAATAATTAACTACCCCCTCAAAAGACTCACAGGCAAAGGAAACTTGTTTCGCTCATCCAATGATACAATACCATGCCACTAGGAATATTAAGTATAAAACGAAAAAACTTTTAGGCCGAGTCAACAAAAAAAATGAGAAAAAAAACGAAATTAGACCGAACAGGACTTGAGAACATTAGAACCAACATTAAAAACAAATATTGATTAGAACGTGCGCAAAATATCTCGGTTGATTGACGAAAATGCAGATTTGAGAAAATGATTCAGTGACTTTGTTGGACAAGTTGTCTAAAAAAAGAACAGCTCTATATTCTGAATTGATAACTCTTGCTAATCGCGAGCACAATCATCGCAGACGTAATAATTCAGTGCACATTGAAGAACGGAGCAAAAAAAAAGATCACAAATTTTTCAAATTCCGCAAAAATCTTGTAACTCAATTAGCTCCACCAATTGGGCTTTAGAAATGGCATTCAGGAAATTCGAAAAAAGCTGAACTTTAAAAAAAGAGTCCGTGCTATGGAATCTATGCTGACAAAAACAAACAGACGGACGATAGTAAAAAAAAAAGAAACTCGTTTGAAAAAAAAACAGGCCCCTACCGGAATCAAACCAGAAGCCTTTGTTGTCTCAAATAGGCGCGTAATCTCAGCCCCCAGATGCGCTGTGTGGTTGATTGATTTTAAATTTGCTATGAAGCAAGATGAAACATCAGAGATCTTGTGAACAAAGTTGTTTACGGGAAAAACTCTAATACCACGTTGCAATACCCTTGCTTATCGCAAGGATAAAAAATTGAGATGCTACGAAGATAATATTGCAAAAGATGCAAAAATTCAAATAAAATGCGAATAAGTTTCTAGTTCAGCCTAGTGATTGGCATTTTTGCAAATTAGATTTTTGAGAATTACAAACAAAGCCTCTCACCTGCAGCAGTCTAATAGCATATTGGGCAGTGTACGAACTCCTAGTTGTGAACAACAACTTCAAAGCAGCACAAGGAGTGCCGTACTTCCAGGTCAGAACTGGCATCACCTCCGCACTATCCGCGTCCTCCATATCACAACACAAATAGTCCACCGCTTGTGGAATATGAGACACCATCTGCGGATAATTTCTAACCAGCTTCTTCAACTCTCTTATAATCGACTGGTGGTATTTGAACCTACTGGGTAAATGGACAGCCAAATCAGGACATATACACCACGCAACAAAGGTATACTCGGACCAAAACTTATCAGAGTTTATCTGCGCCATGGAACTGCTTACAAAGGTCATCAATTTGGGCCATTGTTTGAATTTAGGGTCATCAAAGGGCAATTTTATAGGGTTGAACCAAATCGTGAGTCTTTCGATCTCGGTCCAGACAAGCAAGTTTAATAAATTCAACTTGCTAGAGAGTAATTTCAATTCATCTTTCTTCCCCGCTCGCGCCTTTTTATCCATTTCCAGCAGTCTCCCGATTCTCATTCGTTCGCTGCGCAGCAAAACGAAAAAGTCAATCAAAGCCGAAATGTCTTCTCGCAAATTGTCGCGGCTTTGAACAGGCGGAAACGCACTTTGAGTGAAATACTCAAAAGCACAGTTGAGAATCCGTTTCTGGTACACATTACGCGAATGCAATTCCTTGTCCGCGTTGTCTTCTTTTGGAAATTTGAACTGCAGTAGATGCAAAGCTAGTAGTAGTATTCTAAATCGAACGCCAACCGCGCCTAAACTTCGATTCATTATCGGTTTGAAATCCAAGCGCAAGTTTGGGTCTTTAACCAGCGAGTCACAATGTAAAGTTTGTCCGACTAAATGATACAGCATGTCTACAACATCGTGATCGCTAAATTTGAAAGTAGCAAATTTCTGCTCCATAAACTGGATCAGAAGATTGTGTGGAACGACGAACTCCAGATTTGAAGGCATTTCAGATCCTTGGGTAAATATGGAAGAAGTTTGGGTATCCTTTTCATCAGAAAATATTCCAAGTTTTCGATCTTTGGAACTATGCCAAGCTTCGCAAATGTACATAAACAGCTGTAGGGTAAGGTCGTTTCGTGCTGAAAGAATCCACTCCCAGCAAGCTATCGAGTTGTTCACTCCCTGTTCCGTGAAATGATTCAGGAAACCACAGCAAACTGTCTTCAACATGAAGCTCGTTTCCGAATTCTCCTCACTCATGATAATCAGAGCGCTCAGTCTGAAAACTGCGTTCAAGAACACTTCGTCTGAATTGTCTTTCAACATCAGTTCTCTAGCATACTTTTGATGCAACTCTTTCGGAGATTTTCCCAACTCACGGAGAGATAAAATCATACCCCTTGCTTCACCAAGACACTTGCTTCTGCGTGTCATAAAAGACACAATATTGCCCTGTTCCTGTGTATTACCAAAAGAGAAGTCATTCTGAGGATTATTCACTAAGAAGTCCATGGCCAAACCCCAGCCAGGATGAGATGAAGTTGAACAAATTTGCTCGTCTTTTGTATCAATGTAATGCATTAGGTGCGACTTGGTAGTGTTTCCCGCGCTTTGAACAGCTGCCAGAATGAAACTCCTCGTGCGCTCGGTGAAGTCATTCAAGGTCGCTTGTCGTTCCTCGGTCGTCCTCGTGTGAACAAGTTCCAGGCCCGTCTCTGAAACTGGAGTTTTTAGCGCTATTCCCTCCTGCCTCTGCTGTATGTGCATGCTCTGCAGTTCCAGAATATCTAGGGACGTTTTAATGAAGTTATAATTCCACAGAATATTCGGAAACTCTGTCAGCAGCTGGCTTAAGTAGTGATCGGCTTGCTTTCGAATCGCATGAGCAGGATCGTTGAACTTGATCAACAGGTACTGGGAATGCTCTTTTAGCAAGTTTTCGTGAGCCATGTTTCTAGATTGACAGCGCATAGTATCCAGGTATATAGTGAAAACGTAGTCACAGATTCCTTTCGTGACAGTCCACATATTATTGATCTTTCCCTCTTTCATCAGTTGCAGTTCCTCAAAGTATTGGAAAATCACTCTGAATGAGGGAATCGAAGCATGTTTGTGCCGTAGACTCTCTAAAGTGATGGCAGCAATAGCAAAGTTTATTTGAGATGAAGTTTCGATTTTCAAGATCGAATGGTAGAACTCTTCCTTCGCTTTAGTGCGACTGATTAATTGTGTCTTCAAAGTTTGCATTTCATTCGCCGAGTAGTCCTAAAACATCGGTTCTAGGGTCGGCGACATAAATCCAAACTTTATCCAGTCTTTTTTATTACATTTTTATGGTGAAAGAACCCACATTAATAAAATAAAAGATTGTCATGACATTTCGCAGGGAAAAAATTCAACGTGATATTCTAAAATTCTTAAAAGTAACATCAAAAAGAGTCGAGATAATGTAAACGTTTTGCTCGGATTTATGAAATTATGGGCAACTATTAATTATGGGCAATTTTCTCTTTCCTATGCACACATTGATATCCACACACATCCTATGATATTTCTAGACGGACATTCAATGAAACCATCTACATTTCTGACGGTTTGTCAACGAAGAAAAGGACCAGCATAACGAAGAAAAGGACCAGTTTGGCTATTATTCTGGGAAGGGTAATGTTGCCTCACCCTCGGCAACAAGCACGGATCGTTTCAGCCATTTCACCACCGCGCCCGTAACTGAGAAGACAAGTTTCATCATGCTTGCTCGAATAAATAGCTGTAACTTACATCCATAAATTTGAAGTCGACATCAACTATTTGCTTCAAATTCTGTGACTCTTCGCTCGACACCAGCAGAGGCGCCTTCCTCGCGATACGAGTGATGGCCTCGAACCACTTCGGCGAAACATTTGCTGACTTGCTCTCGTCGTCCAGCTGCAGCCGAGAAACGAAGAACCAGAACTGCTGGAACGCCTTGTAAACCTGACAAAACAAAGTCCCCGATGATAACGGATCAGATACAGCTCATCAAAACTTATCACACATTGCTTTTCCAGACGAAAGTTTGAGTAACAAGTTGTCATCAAACGATTTAAATGTAACCACTTTCATTGGACGATATTTGTCTTTCTTTTGTCCATAAAAAAGACCAGACGATCATTAGATGTCATAAATGAAACAACATAGTTATTTTTCAAAAGATTGTTAATACACTTATTTTTTAAAACATTTTTTAACACAGAGGCGAAGCTGCGCTTCACAAACACTTGCGAGAACACGGCCAAAAAAGTAGAAATAAGCCTTGAATTAGCAAAAACTCGGCTACGAGGATTCAAATCTGCGACCTTCTGCAATCAAAAGATTTTGAGCCTCACGCACTATTCGCTCAGCCACGCAAGCTTACTAACCGAAAAACACTAGTCACAAATGAAGCAGCTACATATGCTAATAACTTGCCAATGCCATTCGGCGAAAGTGGCACCAAATACAAATAGACTCAATTTTGCATGTAATATTTTGGAATATAACAAACTGAAGGCATCCACATTAACTTTGCATGTTACAAATCGCAAAGCAGAAAACTATATTATGTATAAATTATGCATTTCAAACAATAGCGAGATATATTGAGTAAGAAAATTTCTGAAATCGAGTTTTCATTATTGTTGTTGTCTGAAACAAATCACTTTTTTCGGTTCATTTGATGAATTAAAAATGCAACAACTGTGTTAACTTATTACTATTCAAATTACAAAAAGCTGTAAAGGTGCGCGACCATTTTTGGGGTGCCGCACCATAAAGTTGCCGCAACAATATTTGCGACTTAGGCTTCGCAAGTGTAAATAGTTATAACACGTACATATTTTGAAATGTCGAATCTGTTATAAAAAAGAGATCACCTGAAAATGCAAAAAAAAGTGAAGTCAATGTGGTACAACCTGCTTCTGTGACTCAAACTCCTGAGGGATCCGGTCCAGAAGAGTAGCGATGGGCGCCAGTAGTTCCCCACTGTTGCACTTATTCTGCACTTTTGGACCTAAACAGTTACCACTCAAAAACACTCACAAAAATTGCCCCAATTTCGATAAAGCCTGAAACTTTCCCTTGGAGAAACGGAACAATTAATATCAATTTAGCTACAAGACCTAAGCTCAGGCAGGAGCGGATCTAGGATTTTTTCTAACGTCTGGGTGGAAAACTCACAAAAAAAATTTCGAACTATTTCTGCGCCGCTTTTTGAGCACTTTTTGGAAAGTTTTGATTAGTTCAAAGCTAGCACGCTCCACTTCAAAATTAGTTCATATTGGCGCCGAAGACACCTCTAGATAATTTTAAGGGTCGGTTGGTCGAAAATGGATCTAAAATAGATTGGGGCACTAAATTCGCCCTCGCCTGATTTCATTTATATGCAACGATATGCAAAACAAAGCAAGTATATGCATTTTCACTGAGTTGAAATTTGGCAAGTCATAACATTTAAATCGAGCATCAAAATTTGATACGTATTTGCCATAATAGATTTAAGCTACGCATTTACCAAACTAAAAACAACCATGACAGTAATTTTTACGCAGAGCGATTTAATCTGAATTTAAAGGAAATTGCGTGTGCACATTGACAAAAAAAAGAATTATATGCCAGCAAAGACGCTTTTGAAAAGCCACGTTGTATTACAATGTATATTTTCTTGATAGCTATTTCCTCTTGCAGACAAAAAAAACAATAACAAAAAATTACCTAAAAATAATTCATATCAGCTTGTCAACTACGGACAGATACTGAAAACTGAGCATGGTTAAGCCATTCACAGCAAAGACTGCTAAAAGAATAGTGGTGCAGAAAACAGAAATGAAAGAGTGAAATTATATATTTTTTCACACTCACCGACCATCGCTTGTGCCACACTTTTGACCAGCCCAGTTTTTACTAAATATACCGCTATGAGTAAACAGAACAGAACTCGGACCAAGTTAACACTCCCCCTTTAATATACCCAGCTAACGTCCCCCACCCTATTTGAAATGTTATACTTTGCTTGGCGGTGTCTTGAGTAAAATACGCAATTCTGAATCGCTGCAAGTTCCAACTTTAAAACCCTTCCTCTAAACCGCTCTATGAGACATTAAATTGTTCTTCCAACTCATTCCATCCCCAACAATTCTTTTCTTTTAAATGGGCCTTAAAGATAAGTCACAGACAGAGCGTGAAAATGGTATTTGATTGAAGCATCACAAGAGCGCCCATTTTTTACACTTAAAAAATACAAAAACATAGTTAACAGACAGTTGGAAAAGACTAAATGAACGCAAGTTAGAAAAAATATTGAAAAATCTCAACTTCTGAATTTCAAAGAAAAAATAGATAGCTTTAAAGCTCTTTGAATTTCTGAAACAATTTATAATTGACTTTTTTTGAAAAAATTAACCCAATAAGTCAATAGGTAAAACTTTTATTTCGCTGGGAAATTAGATGGTTGAATTCCCACTTTCGAAACTAGAAGTTGATCAAGTTTTTCTAGAACTTTACACTTTTGTTGATCGATAGTGGAGTTTGCCTTCCTTTCAACAAATGAAATGAACTGAACTTAAAAAGAAACCAAAAGTCAAACCGCGAAAACGTATTTTTGAACCTGAACAAATTTTAAGACTTTTCCTGAAAAAAAAGCAAAAAAAAACATCGCGACCTATATAAGAGTCTGGAAAAAAATATATCTGGAGATTACAGGAGTTGAACCCTGAACTCTCCATTTTTGAATCATTTCTCAAACTTTGCTCCGTCGATCCTTGCAGTTACATAATCACAAACATAATTAATTACTCTATAATTAATAAAACTCGAGCTATTTTAAAACAAAGCCAACAGACAAACATTTAAAAATCATTTAAATGGCCATCACTGGACATACGAAAAAAAAGAAAAAAAGTGTTAATGAGACGGAAACATCAGATTATTTTATGATTGACTACCTTTTGATAAACCTAACCAATTTGATGAAAACGGATCAACGTTATATTGTTTCATTCAGCTGAGATTTCAACAAACTAAAATCGTGTTTTGAAATTAGATGCCATTCACGTTTTTTCGCGTCAGTTGCATATTTGATACTTGAGAGCTTAACTTGGCTTCCATTTGACTATCGAAGTTGAACCACCACATTCAAACCATTTTTTTGCGATAAAACACCCAAGCAAACTAATTAGACCAAATAGAAGCTAAATTTCAGGCAGAAATCCAGCCCAAATTTAAAGCAAAATTGATAAATGTTTGCAAAGAAATAGACTCTTATTATTAAATAGATTTCGCTTGTGTGAAAAACATCATTTTAAAGGCAACGAGTTTCATAAACAATTCCAACAGTTTTATAGGCAAAAATGTTATCATCGTGAACATAAAGTACGCTGAACACCAATAAAGAAACATAGCAGAACAAAGATAAATTAATGAGGTATCGCATAATGTGAACTTACCCCCTCCCTCTGTTTTCGTTCCCTGCTGTTCTACCGCTGGTCTTATGTTACTCATTCCCAGACTGTTGAATATATTCAACAACCTCAACAGGAAGTCAGTCATGTGCTCGTGATCTCGGATGGAGGCGGACATGGCTGTCATCGTTCGGATGACGGAGGGGATTACGTGACTGATAGCGGCAGCACTGGCTTCTAAAGAAGCCCCGAGAGAAGAAGAGCGAACTGCAAACGTGAACTGGGGACCTCCTGCAGGAGAGTTGACTTTGCTCCTGTTCACATCCAAATGTTAAAATCATCACAGCCTTCAACTTTCAGTTAACTTCCAACTTATTTTTTCCAAGTACTCTTCGTGTATTATTATTTTCACTGTAGTCATAGTTTGAAACATATGGAACACGTGTGGGCTGGATCAGTACTTTTGGCAGTTGAAACTTTCAAGTCCAGAAAGTACGATCCCCGAAAACGCTTTCTTACAATAAAAACAAGGAAGAATCTTATTATCTAAGATTATGTGAAGCAGCTACTTGTGTTGATGGGCAATTTGTAACAGGCGAAAATTGGTAATAAGGCATCGGCAAATTGCTACCGCTTCGCTCCGCTGCTATTACATTCGTATAATTTTCTTTTGTCAGTTTTGACTGAACAGATACACTTCCGAAGAACTAATTTGGCAAAAAAATTGTTCAGATTTTTTTTTGGTTTCGGAATTAATGCGGACACTGCTCGACAAAATTTAGCCTCCATGAACGTCAAATTCTTGAGTTTTTTCGAAACAGTTCGTAAAATCCCTCCAATATCTTGATTTTAAGAGTTTCTCAGAGTTCTCAAATTGATTTTATTGATTTAGAAAGATTTGAACTGGTAAAAACTCGCCTTGAATTGAATTTGAATTCAAGTTCCCTGAATCGCAAATCCGTGTGCAGAACCTGTTACCATTTGCCACCGCCTGAAACTACTTGGACTACTCACTCTGCTAGTACCCCAGCTGCAGATGACCCGCAGAGGGCGTGGGAGAAGAGCTTCATGATCTGCTGGTAGACTTGGTTGTTACTCGGCTCCACCACCACACTCTCGTACTCCCCCTCCTCCTCATTGTCCCACCAGAGCGACTGGGTGGCTGCTGCTGTTGCAGAAGAGTGGCCCCCAAACCCCCCACTACCCACTGTTTCCGAGCAATAGGCGGCACCGGAGGGGGGCAATGCCCACAGGGGACCACCTAAAACATCAAATTCCAAATATACTCCCCGAATTTACATTGCGTTGCATGGTCGAGATCTAAACAGTCTTGTGTGAGCGCAAGATTCACTGCAGCGTGACCGGATAATTTTGGTTATAAATATGTCACTATAGCCAGTTAGGGGTTGCATACTAGTTAGGTAAACGACAGAACAATCAAACCGAGGAGAGGATGCGATGATAATTCATAACTTGTACGTGACGTTTTATTTAAAAAAAAACAGCTTTGCAAAAACAACAGCTTTGCGAAAAACGAGACAAAAAATCGTTCAATTTTTCGAGAGAAAATGAAATAAGTTTATCGAACTTGATAAGCGATCTTTTTCAATTAAAACAAACCCAACATACAGTTGGAAAGGAGTCAATGAAAAAATAACAGATTTTTTTTGAAAAAACTTCAACTTTCAAAAAAAAACAGATGGCCTTGTGGCTTTTTTAATTTCAAGAGCAATTTATGATTGACACTTTTGTTATATAAACTTAACTCAATTTGAGAAAACTGGCTTACTTATTAAGGTATTTAATCCGCTAGGTAATCTGAAATTGAAAATCCGTTTTCGAGATTAAAAGTCGATCACGTTTTTCGTGGTTTTTACCTATTCGCTGTTCGATAGTAGAGTTTGCTGAACTCAAACTAAAAACAAATTAAAACTCAAACAGCACAAAAAAATTAAAATTGAGCGTGAACAAATTTTAAAACTTTTCCTGACAAAAAAACAAGGTCACCGCGACCAATGTAAAAACTAAACTATGTTCATCGACTCAAAAACAAACAAAAAATACAGTACACTGGCCCAGGGGCGGATGTAGGATTCTCTCGAGAGGGGTGGCGACAGTTTTTCAAAAAAAAAATCGAAAATTTTAGCGAACTTTTTCTTTAGGTCTATCAAATTGATTTTCCCTTATCTCCCAAAACACTGAAAACTAAAAAAGCGTTTTAGGCACTTTATTAGGCACTCAAAACTTTTAAATATATTAAAATATTTTAATATTAGAAAATTTTGGAGTCCGTCTGCCAATGGATATCTCCAACACAGAGGCGAAGTTGCACTTCGAATACACAAGCAAAAATATTACCGATAACGCTACTGGGAAAAATTGGATGAGTAAAAGTTTGAGACTAGAAAATTTTTTAAGTAACGCACACCAATTATGAGCCTACATAATTGCTAAGTGACGCAAACCAATTATGAAGCATTAACAGTACCAATCAATTAAAAAAAAAGAAATTTACCAACTAACATGCCTCAATTTATAGAGCGGACGCATTTTAACTAGTATACGAAAAGTTCATTAAAAACATCCAAACCCGCCCAGGTTCGAACCCTTTTATTTAGTTGCGGGTCTCCTTCTCTAACTCTACGCTACAGATCCATTATACCAAGAAGCTAAAGTGCTATTTGTAATATAATAGTCTGTATTAATATCCTAAGCAGTGGCTGTACTTAATAGCTGGTTAGTGATCAAAATGAACACTTTCAAAATGAACACAAATATTTGCGACTTAGGTTGGAAAAAAAGAGAGTTCATACTATCACACAAGCTTTGCTTGTGTAAATAGTACAAAGGGGGGCCCTTTGGGTCGGCAGGGAGTCCAATCCCCCCCCCCCCCCCTAAATCCGCCCCTGCACTGTCCATTGGTTAACATCCTCCAGATATTGTGCAAATGAGTCAATCTTCATTGATTTTTGAATTGTAGCTGTATCATCAGCAAACAAAACTGCTTTTGTGCCATCACAACGTTGGGGTAAATCATTGTTGCAATATAGAAACAGAGTTTTCGATTAAAAAGAGTTTCAGGGCGGAAAAAACTGTTTCTCGCTAATTTAAAATATTTGCTTTGCTCTTACGACACTTCTGTGGGTTTATGTTTCTTTTGCTGATGCTTCTGTCCATAATGCCAGCTTAACCTTTTCGTTATGCCTGCTTTTTTCTTTAACTTTCATCTCTCGGAACAAAAATTGCTTCAATGGAGACTTCTGGAGAAAATCAGATCTCTGGAATTCTTAAGAAATTTGACCCATACTTTTCCTCTCCAGACCACGTTAGAATCAGTGTGAAAACTCAATTTCTCTATGATTGATGACTTTATATATTTCAATGAATCACAGGCTGCTACAATGCTCACTGTTTGATGGACTGAGAGATAATGACAAAAGAAGTTCAGAAAGTCAAACTTATGATTTTCTCCTTATCTTAATTTATAACTAGCAGGTATAGCTTCCTGTAACATTTTTCAATTTCAACAACATGGTTGATTAATTCGTTTCATAAGCATCTGCTTCATTCGATTCGTGTAGTTTCTCATTATCTCTGATAAACTATTTAATAAGTTATTCGCAACAACAATTAGGCAAAGTTGAAATTGAAACTGACCTGCTGGACCAACCATAACCATGTATCCCATCTGATCTATGATGAGGTCATCCATGTAGGCAGAGTCCCGACTGAACATCTGCTGGAAGATACTGAGCACCTTCGACATCAGATCTGCATTGGCAGCGAACGACTGAAATTGCAAACCGGGATGTCCAAAATTGTAATAAAATATAAATAGTAAACTTAGCCAACAGAGTTGGAGAAGTGTAAATGAACTAATGAAGAACAAAAAAAATGACTGACAAAACTCTTTGAATTACAAGAACCTCTGATGATTGTCACTTTTTGAAAAAAACTAATCCAATTAGAGAAAACTGGACGAATGCTAATTTCTTTCATTCCACCGGGAATTGTGAAAACTAAATGCCATTTTTGAAACTTAAAATAAATCACGTCCTTTCGTGTATTATCACTTGTAATGGTAGAGCCTAATTAGCCTTCCATTTAGCAAATGATCTTGAATATATCTCAAAAATAAATCAAAAGCCAAACGAAAAAAAAATCAATTTTGTTTCCTAGAAAATAAACAAGAAATACTGTTACGCTGCAGATCTTCTACATACTTGTCTTTGGGTCAGCGCAAGATGTCCCAAAATCAGGATACAGTTCCTGGAAACAATCTCGTTTTCAATCATCATTCCCCTCCCTGATACATCCCTGGTTCTGGACTCCGCAGTCAAGTAACTTTTGGCTGAAATAGTCGCAAGCGCAGCGTCAATTTCCGTTTGATTCGACAGATTTACAGCTTGCAAGGCGCGACATAGGTTTGCAATTGCTACATCTCGAAGTCGAGCAAATGCCGAAAGCGGGTTGGCCAACGAAAATTTCCGAGACGCGATTTCTTTATCGAGTGTCGCCGTCAACGTGATATTGTGGCTCAGTCCATAAACACTTGACAGAACTAAAGAAGGGTCCAGCAGAAAATTTTTCAGATGATCAACAACTGACTTCGCTACTTGGGACGAGGGGAACTTTTCCGCCTGGGTTCCCATGCAGTTCAGAGCACATTCGTACATTGGAAGTTCGAATACGAAAGACCTCGCAAAGTTCGGTCCCGTTTTCGAAATTCGCGACTGCAATTTAGTCAAAATGACTTCGGCGCTTTCTTCCTCGGTTAATTTTACCAAGAGCTCTGTAGTTTCAGCCGATGCCCTTGAAAACAAGTAGTATGGATTGTAAGTGTCGGGACTGAAACTGAGTCGTGCATTCAAGTACTTTGTTTCTATATCTATGTTGTTTAACAATACGTACTGCACTTTGACAATGTCGTGAAATGCAGTCTTTACCTCATCGTTCGCAAGTAATTCCGAGTTGTAGACCAATGCTTTGACCATCGATATTGCACTGAGACTGATGATTTCACTGTAGCTCTTATAGGGAAACTTCTTATCCAACTTGTAGTATAAGTACTCACAGCCATCGTCTAACTTTTGCAGAAATTGGTCGTTTAAAAGATTACTGATGACATTTCGGCAGAATATCAACTCTGTTTTGGTGAGATTGAGAAGCTGGTTCAACGAATACTTCTTCAGTTTCAGAATCGGATAACTTGACCCATAATGATGAAACAGATTAACAGGATCAAAATCAATAAGTTCATAGCCGCTTTTATTTTTCTCAGCGTCTATTTTACTTGATCTAATTGCGTTTTGTGTATCTTTCGACTTCATCACAAGCGTGAATCTATTTTCATAGCCAGTGATGCTTCGTTTTTCACCGGCTGGTATAACCGTACTTCTTCTGGTTATAGTCGGGTTTTTCTGCACAGCACCTTTCCCTTTGTCTTCCTTTTTATAAAGTGTTGATTCGTTGAAAAGCAGCGAAGTGACAGGAATATTCATCGAGGATTTTCTAGCAAACGTCCTCAACAAACCAATTATAAAAGGAACGTAAGAACCTACAAATTTTTTGAACTCAGGCTTAGCGATTGATTGCACGTCTGCACAGCGTGTAAACGCATAGTCAAACTCTTCGAAAACCCTTTCAACTATTTCGCTTTTCATATCGTCCCTGTAAGCTGCGATGTCTGTCAAAATAGTCCCCAATACTACTCCGAAGAACTCAGGAAAAATGATACTTCGTCTCGAAGAAACTCCATACGGACTGTCCCATGTTGCATTTCTCACATTGCTCAGGAGCTCCAGAAGGTAGTTTGAAATTGTATCGTAATGCTTGAAACCTGACTCGACCATTGTCAAGTTCAGAGCTATGAGTCCCGAAAGAGACCTGGAGTCCAAAATACAGGTTCCATCGTCGATGATTGGACTCATTTCGAAGAGGAGTCTCAGGTTTGCAAGTGGGATCTCCTTCATGCATGACACAGAATTGGCTAGCTTGAAGCACAGTTTGAAGTTCTCTTCTTCCACCAGGAACTCGTAGAAGGTTCTCGAGATCTCCATCACGGCTAGCTTTTATCACATTGATCTGAAAAAGTTATGCCCTTCATTTTGATTGAATAATTCATGTCTTACGTTAGGATTTGACCAACGCCAGGCTATTATTCGCCGGAAAACGAAATCGTAGCATGTATAGACGGCATCATCAAGGTCAAAATTTAAACACAGAGGCGAAGCGTAACTTCACGCCAATTGCGATTCGTCAAAAAAATTGAATGGCAGTCCATCACACCAGAAATGCCAACTGATTTTGTTGAGTTAACCCAAAAAAGCCCAAATTCCCATTTGATAACGCTTGCTAATAGAAAGCGTAGAAAATCATTTAAAAAGCGTGAAAATGATTTTTATGGAACAAAGAACTAATCTTTTCTCTGAACAAAAACTTAGGTTTCAGCGAATTACAAAAAATTACTTCGATAGAACGTTTCGAGCAAACTTTTGTACCACTCCAACTTTTGCTCGCAGAGAGCGTAACTTCATCTCCCCTTCTTGAGTAGTTTGACAAACCGAGCCGTCAAAATTAGTTAGCTCTTTTTTTCAACCGGCTGTTAATAGGGCTCTCAGTCGACAGAAAGTAATTGAAAGACACAGAGCGCCCCCGCTTCCAACAGACTTTTTGCAATACCAAAGCAACAGACGCCTATTTTATGACAAAGCTAGTTACATAGACCATCCAGAAAAAAGCTCTGACTTTGAAGATCGCTATGCACTTAGACGCATCGAGACATTGAACGTCTTTCATATGCAATTTTACACTACCCACATTCAATTAGTCAAATTATATCCCTGAAACTTTGCTCTGCTGACCAACAGCGGTGAGAATACATAAAAAAGCTACTGAAAGTGCTATTAGTCATCACTCAAAACACCGAGCGTTATTAATTTTGAACTTTTAGCAATTAACAACTTCTTACTAAGTCTTCGTTGAAAATGTTCAAGAGAATCATTTTTTGAGGTTCCCGTCATCGAACTGCATCCTCTACGAAATTCCCGGTGAAAAAGGGTCGCTAAAGAAGGAACTCAGTTATGGCTATGGCAGGGATGGCTACGTTAGGGATTTGTATGCCGGTTTAATGCAGACAAAATTGATCGATATTAATATTGGTTGACAGTGATGCATGGAACCGAATTCATTAATAGCACTATCCCAAGACACCGCGCAAAATAGTTTTTCTTGATAATATTTCGCAATTGCCCGCTGATGCCGCGTTCGAAGTGGTCCCACACGATATTGAAATAATATTGTTCCGACCACGTAAAGGAACTATGGCGTACGGTCTGCTTTATCTTTGTGATTTTAACTATCTAAAAGAAAGCTCGCAGGGGCCAAGCGAGATATCACAATAAAAAGCTTACCGGTTTTAATTATGACTCCACTAAATTTCAGACAAATTCTCTCACAATCGAGAAAAACTAGACTGAACATTTATATTTTCCAGGCTAGATGACACTCACTGAGAGACTAAAATCTCAATTAAATTCTTTTTCAAAAATACCGTTATTTTAACTCTGCTAACTATTCAATCTTGATTTGTATTCACCTGCTTCAATCGCCTTTTATGGACACAGAGGCTAAGCGTAGCTTCGCGCCACTTGCTTCTCCGAATAAAATTAGCATTACAAGCTAGCAGACAGAAATGACACGAAATGAAACAAATAAGAAATTTTTCTTTGAAAAATTTCGAAAAACCGTAACACCGAAGCATCGACAGATTTCTATGACTTAATTAAAAAAAGTTTCAATAGGTAAACAATTTGTTCTTATAGGTTCAATAGGTAAACAAAACTTTCAATAGGTTTCAATAGGTAAACAAAACTTATCCATGTAAATCTCATCTTGGACGAACAACTAAAATGCCAGTTAGCTGCCTATCGAGAGGTGGTAAGCTTCGCAGCACTTGCGATACAACAAGTTTAACATTCAAACAGAATGACGCTGATGAAGCAGCATACAAGACTTTGAGCAAAGACATTGAAAAAGAAACGGAAAAATTGAAAAAAAAAACCAGGAAGTTTTTTTTGGTAACTTTCATTGAAGTTTTTTTACGAGGACCTTGAGAGGTTGATATTAAGCATTCAAAAATATATAGCCTGAGTCTTATCGATCTTAAAAACAAAACTGGAACTTAATAGGAAACAAAACATTAGGTAGAAAAGACAAGAAAATTACAACCGACAGTCAATAAGCTGAAAATCAACTGGAATGTACTGCTTATTTGGTGTCCATGAGTGCTTTATATGCAATGAAAGCAAGACCTAAATCTTGAACTAAACTGACAAAATTTAAATCGACAAACATAACGCAGAAAACTTGGCCCCTACCTCAAAGAAAGCTCGTAGAAGCCAAGCAAGATATCACAATAAAAAACCTTACCGGTTTTAATTATGACTCCAAAAAATTTCGAACAAATTCTTCAGAGTCGAGAAAAACTAGTTTTGTATTCACCTGCTTCAATCGCCTTGTATGGACACAGAGGCTAAGCGGAGCTTAGCACCACTTGCTTCACCTTACAAAATTAGCATTACAAGCTAGTAGACAGAAATGACACGAAATCACTCAAATAGGAATTTTTTCTTAGAGAAAGTCGAAAAACCGTGACACCAAAGCATCGACAGATTTATATGACTTAATAACAAATTAGTTTCAAAAAATAAACAATTTGTTCATGCTTTACAAAGTTTATCCAGGTAAACCTCATCTTGTACGAACACTAAAATGCCAGTTAGCTGCCTATCGAGAGGTGGTAAACTTCGCAAAACTTGCGATACAACAAATTTAACATTCAAACAGCATGACGCTGATGAAGCAGCATACAAGACTTCGAGCAAAGACAACATTAAAAAGAAACTGGAAAAAAACTTGAAAATGAAAACAAAGAAGTTTTTTATGGTAATGTTCATCGAAGTTTTCTCAAGAGGACCCTGAGGGGTTGATATTAAGCATTCAAAAAATATAGCCTGACTCTTATCGATCTTAAAAACAAAACCGGAACTTAATAGGAAACAAAGTATATGGTAAAAAAAGCCAAGAAAATTACAACCGAATTTATTATAACAAACAAACTAAAAACCCGAAAATTTATTTTAAATTTTTTTTCCAGGTTTATTTTTTTCTAATTATACAACAGAGGGCTTAAGAGAGTGATTTATATTTTTCAAAAAGTTCCTGTTAGACATCAATCGTCACAAAACCAACATAACTAATAGATTAAAAGCATTAGGAAATTAAGCAGACAGAATTAAAGCCGAACGACCTCAGAGCCGAAAACCTATCAAAAATGTTAAAATCAGATAAATTTTTAAAAGACAACTCGTAACGTAAACACTAGGCCATTACAGTAACTATGCTAATAATTAACCATGCGTATGAGCCCATGGGTATAAAATATACTGATAACCATTTGAACAAAGTTATTTACGGTGAAAAAAATTTAGTACCCGATTGCAATACCCTTGCTTATCGCAAGGATAAACAAATTACAACCATTGTCTCTGGTTGAAACTTTGACTATAAAAATAGGTTTAATAAAAACTAAATTGATCACATTGATATTGGTTGATACAGCTATGAATGGAACCAAATTCATAAATGGCACTATCCTATGACACAAACGCGCAAAGGGTTTTCTCTATTTTACATACACTGGGATGAAGATTACAGTGCTGATCAATTAAACTACAAAAATACGTCAGTTAGTATGTATAATTCAAAATTAAGGAACCAGAGGAAATGGCAAAAATACAAAACTTTTGTTGTCTAAGCTCGCATAATTAAATGATTTGATAATTAGGCTGCTCAACTATTACGGCATCGATTTGCAATTAATTACAAGCTAACAGTTGATTTTTTAAATATTTTGAAAAAAGAACAGAACCTTTTCTATTTCTTATTTATTCTTATTTATCTCTTGAAGTCCTTGTTGAACAAAACGTTATAAAATATCATGTTTGAAAGCAATAGTTGAGGAGTTTATCACAAAAGTATAGACATCTATCTAATATTTATTTGCGAACTGAAAAACTATTTTACAAGCAGCTAACGATCAAAAACCCCATTGTTATTTGATTGATGGACTGCATCAAAAATTTTGTAAATGTTATCCCAAGCAGAAAGAATAGGTCTAAGTCCAATATTACAATTTGAGAGCGAAACAATTCCAATTTACATCTATAAGTAAGCTGCAAGCTTTATCAGTTGAAGTGACACAAGAGCTAGTGCTCGTGTATCTCAATATCGCATGCCAAAATGATTTAATTAACCGAAAGGATTACGCTTATGTCATTTCAATCTACCATTACTCAACTTCTTACACCTCTATTTCTTTTGTTGTGTCAATTGTACGCCACTCCCCAGCTCAGTTTCCAGATCGTCCCAAGATCTGCAGAATAAACAGGAAGATGTAAACGATGTCGATGTACAGCAGAATGGCTCCGAGAATGTGATCCTCGGGATCAATTTCATGTCTCTTCCCACCGACGATCATCTGGGTGTCGATCGCCAGGAACACCGTGAACAAGATGGCGCCGATTCCCGCGTAGATCAGGTGCATGACCTTGCTGTAGAAGAAGATCATGAAGAATCCGAAGAAAAAGAGACAGAAAGAGACGACAACGGCGACTCCGAGCCACTTGGTGAAGTCGTATTTCGTCTGGAACGAGAAGATACTCACCGCCAGAGTCACTCCAGTGGTTATTCCGAGCGCCATGAAGATGGAGTCCAGGTCATAGTAGCTGGATATGACTCCGATCATGTAGGAGAAAGCCAGAGTGAAAATCATGAGGAGTCCGACATTAGCAGGGAACTTTCGTCTGAGTCCTTGACAACACACCAGCATGAAGTAAGATATAAGAAAGATCACATAGCCGACATAGTACAAGGCCGAATTCTCACGTACAAATGTCTTGACTGAGTCGACATTGACAAACAGTGCAACGATAGCGAATGTGATTCCCAGTTGTGTCGAGAGGGTAAAGTAGACTTTTCGCACGAATGCAGCTCGAATGTTGACGTCACTGAATCCTGGGGCTGCAAACGAGACCGGTGGCGGCGGGCGATTGGGTTGCTGTGCCTCGACATCGTCCTTGTAGGGGTCATAGCCACCAGACATTTGCTGTAAAATAGGATCAGAAGGGTCATTTTCAATTTTACCGGCTATACAAAAATTGATAAATGATTGAAATTTAATGTAAAGCTGCTCAAAAACTCTAACTAAGAACAAGAAAACTGATAAAAGGTTTTTTCAACTCATTAAACAGACTATGCAAGTTTGCATGAACTTCAAATGGATTCAAAAACAAAAAGAAACCACCTCTGCTTTCGTCCAACAACCTCAGTTGTGCGAAGATAGAAAAAACATGTAACTTAGTAAGCTGGCTTTAGTAAAAAAAAGTCAGAAGTCACCTTGATATTTAAAGAAGGCACCGAAGAAGTTTTAGAGCTCGAATGATACTTACTGGCGGAGTATCGTCCACAACCCCATATGAGCCACCATAGCCGTAGTTTGTCTGCGGCGGCATCTGCCAGCCCCCAGGAGCAGATGGTTGGGGTGGCATTCCACTGTTATTGGGTGGAGGAGGGTACTTTGAGTCATAGCTTTGATCCCACGATGGGTTGTAAGGCGGTGGAGCCGACATTCTCGATTCTGAAAAAAAAACACATTGGCTAAAATGTTCATCACTTTTTAAAAATCACTCGCCATTACTCCCACACCATGTAAACAAAAGATACACAATTCACGATACGTCACAAAACATAGTAGCTGGCCGGCCTAAATTAGACGAGAAAAAAAAACACTTCAAAAATCTAGATCTGTATAAGTCTCATTTTTTCGAATGTTAATTTTGAGGACAACATGTCGACAAAGACAGTTGCAAGCGTTGAATTAGCATGATGCTTCAATAATGTGAAAAAGAACACTGAGAAAAATGTGAAAAAAATAATCTGAAAAATGAACACAGCGACTGACCAAAAACGAAGTTAAAAGACAATTCGAAAGGTTTCAATTTTTAAGAGCTCAATTTTCACAGAAAAAACTCATTGTGATAAATCTCTTGAAATTTTGTGATTCCCAAGTTTGTGAAAGAATTAAGCCATTTTGAGAAAAATAATTTTCAAATTGCAGTGAGTAATCTGAAAACTAAATAATGTGTTTGCTACTAGATATTTAGTTCTCTGCTTCGCATATATATAAAATAAATGACCCAAATAAAAAAAATCTCACTTCATTTACAAAAAACGTAGACTCACGATAAAGCGATGACTTGTTTGAAGCATGACACTTCGGGCAGGAAGTTAGTTAAATATCAAGGAATTCAAAGAAAAACGATTTTTTTTCTGAAGCTTTTCAACTGCTTGAATTTAACATAGAAGCGAAGTTGAGCTGGCACCACTTGCGATATACAAAGCCACCGACTTGCACAAAAATGGACAAAACTCCGAAAAACGACAAGCGAAAATTCCAAATGTTTGTTTCAAACTGAAACTCATTTCGATGAAAAAGAGAACAAAACAACCATTATTGAATAAGATGAGAAACTTCGCACTGCGCAACAGTATGGCGAGTGGAAAAAAGACAAATTATAAGAACTTCTGAAAATTGGGTTGAAAAAATTTATTGAAAAAATAATTTGGAAAAACTAAAGCTTTAAAAATTCATGATTGTATCGGATGAAGTTCATAAATAGCCTAAAAAACAATTGGAAATCATCATCCGCCGAGCGACAACAAAGGCGACAAACTTGGGGTCGAAACTTGTTGAGCCGAAAACAAAACTGTTGTCATAAAAAATTTCACGCAAATTTTTTTTTTAATTTTCGACCCATCCAAACTGAACCACAATCCTATACGAATATATTTTGCCCCTGAAATTAAGCAATATCGGTTAACTAAGCTGAAATGACAAGCTGATTAAATGAGAAAACATTGAAAAAAACACACAATATCAGACAAATTACTGATTACAAATTATTGACTTTTCAGTAAGCTTACAAATTACTGACTTTTCAGTTATATTAGAAAATTGCTTGAATTGGAACAAAACCCATGCTTTGAAAAGTAAGCCAATAAAAACCCTACTAGATACAAAAAAAAACGTTGAAAAACGCAAAATGAACAGACAGAAACTACTTTACTACTTGAATGATGGTACTTCATTTGAATTTCAAGAATTTGAGCATGTCAGAAGTGACATTGACCATTCCTCCTCAAATGAACTTTCAGTGAACGAAGCTGTTTACGGGAAAAAATGCCTTGCACCCGATTGCAATACCCTTGCTTATCACAAGGGTACTTAAAAATACACATTTTTTGGATTTGAATTTCAAAAATATTCTATGATGACAATTTTTGGATTGAACTAACTCATGATTAGAAAGCTGGACCAATAAGCAGTCTTTTTAGTCAGTTGGAAAGCGCGAATAAATCATATTCAATTTTCAAACAAAAAAGCATTCACGTTTTTGACGCTATTAGCTTTTTTCTTGTTGGAGAGGGCAAGCTTTCTTGCATTTACCAAACTAACTTTAGTGAAATGTAGAAAAAAACGCGAAAAAATTCAATTGCGTATCAAGTAAGGTTTCTGCAGAACAGAAAACGGACGAAAACCGATGAACTAAATTAGTAACTCTACTTCGTTCCTTGTCAAAGTAAATTGTTGAAAAGTAAACTGAAGAACTGAAGCGGTGTTTCCTCGACGCGTTGTTTACAAGGAGAAAGACCAAATGTATAGGAAAGTTATCAAAAATCTTCTCTGTGAAATTCTATGACACATGCTGATTCTATTTCTCAGAAACGTTCATTTTATTGTGTTTTCACAAGTTGGGCCTGAACATTAATTAAACGCAGAGGCGAAGCGGAGCGTCGCACTACTTGCGATACAACATAGAAATAGTAGTGAAAGCTAGCAGACAGAAAAAGAAAGCCACTAAGTCCAACAAAAACACTTCAAAAAACCACTTAAAACAACTCAAAGTTGCCTGGAATCTTGTTCCATTTTTTCTATTTACGAAAAACACGACCAAAAACACAATCGACAGCAATTTATGAAAATCCAAAAAATAATTAACAAACGGCAACTGAACCGACAAAAATTTAAATAATTTCCAGTAGAACCGAAAATATATTTATTGTCATGAAAAATTTTGAAATTACATACTAAAAAAATTCGCATTCTGTGCAATCCGGATTGAAGCATAAAACCTATGCTATCTTTGAATTGACCCCAAATTAGATCACTAATCCGATTAAACATAAGTCGAAATCATAAGTGACAAATGAAGGAGCAATTCAAAACATTGAAAGCAACTACATTGAAAACTACATGCAAAAAAGCAATTCTGCAACGTAGCACTTAAGCCGAGAAAACATAAGCAGACAAACTATAGACCGACATTTTCTGAAAAAAATATTTCCAGTTTGGAAAAAAAAACAGTTCATGGTCAGATTCAAACCCACGAACTTAGCCGTCGCAGGTGTATTCTTCACCTCCAGTCAAAAGGCCGGGCACGCATGAAGCTTGAATTCATTATGAACCAAGATACACCGATTCTGTTTAATAAGTTGTTAATACGACAAAATTCTATGTCCCGGTTTGATGACGCTTGCTAATCGCAAGCGTAAATACATAGTTGATAAGAAGCCAGTTGTTGTTGCACGAACAATTTAATTTTTCAACTCCTAATGCAGTAAAAAATTCTTCGGTTTTTTTCAACAAAACGAGCTTCAAAATCACATTTAACTTTTTACCTGAGCTGCCAACTTTAGCAGATACACTGAAAACTCCCTGCACACTCGCTACCCGAAATAAAAATTCAAAATTGCCAGTATCTTTACAGCATCATTACGTAAAAATTTAATCACAGCCTCACGACTTCGACACATGCGCAGCCGTAATTTGCAACTACAACGCCAAACATAGCGAACAATCCCCGACGCGCTCTCGACAAAATCCTTCAACTTTCGGCTTTGTCATCCCAAGCACGTTTTACCAACAAATGTCACATGTGATGGAAAGCACGAAAGCATTATGAAAGGCAATTAGCATACCTGACTTCAATTTGGAAAGATTTCGAGTAGCATTATCCCACCCCAAAATCTCGAGCGCATGGCATCAATAAATAGCTGCTGATTTAACTTATCCTGGCAAAACGATCAACACTTGTTGAAGCCTAAAACACATTTTTCTCAGATTGAGTTGATTTCACCGAATTTCAGCAGAATTAATATGGTTCAATCTATTTTGCAAAATTAGGGCCCTGAAGTTTTAGGGTGAAACTTTGGGGCCAAATTTTGCAAAATAAATTGCACCGTAATGATTCTGCTGAAATTCTTAACAAGATTTATCACCATCTTTTTTTACTTAAACCAACCCAATCTGAGAAAAAAAGGTTTCAATATTTAAGTTATTAGTTTTTCCTGATAAATCAAATCAGCACTATATTTTTGGTACGAAAAAAAGTTACATGCATAAAACTTACTCAGTTTAGATTTGAAATTAGCGCTGGATTATATGCATACAATGTTTAAAAATACTGCCAAAAAGCAAGCTATCGAAATGCGTGACTTCTGCGTGACTTTTTTGATACAAATTTTTGATTCTCAAGTCGTACTGAAAACTCATGCCTAAAATAAATTTCAGCACTCCATTTGATTATAGTTTGTTACAGCGAAAAAACTAATTTTGAAATTTTTTTTTTAAAAACAGCATGAAACAAGTGAGTTAAAAATAACTTCACATCAACTTCAAGCCTCTTTTGTAGTGCTTCGACTAAATCATATCATATTCAGCTTTTAATCGAAGGATTGCATTTGGACGCTTACAGAATTAATAGGCCCTGTGGTTCGTTACGTAGAACATTATGCAGAAGACGGTTAAAACTTTAATTTTAACTAAGTGTCAATCATGAATAAGGCCATCAATTTTTTCAAGACTCGAGAAACTAGTCTCGAAAAACATGTCTAGTAACTTCGGTTACCAGGTAGAAATCTGGACCAATAAGTAATTCTATTCGCTGAGAAATCTGATTGAAATCCATTTTCGAATACAGAAATCGATGACATTTTTCGTGACCTTAACACTTTTGCTGCTTGATTGTGGCGTTTGCCTTCCATTTAACAAAACAAAGTAAATGAACTGAACTTAAATGAGAAAGCATTCACCGCGCAACGTTCAACTTTGTGATTGCTGGTGTAAAAGTTATTTCAGTACATTTTAGGCCTCTAACTTTTCTATAAAATTAATTCAGCGCAATTTTGCTCACTGAATATTTGTCACCTATTTTTTTCGCGCGTTTAAAAATTAATTTATCAAACAATTGGCCAAAACTTACAAGATATAAAAACGCTTTTACTTAACCAAAACATTTCTCAGCCAGGCTCGAACCATGAATTGGCGCATAGTTACCTCAACTGAGGCATAGAACTTATGAGCTTGAAATTAATCGCTCTTACTGTTAGACATGAACATGTTAACGCTTGAAAACTCCTATTCAATCTACTAGAAAAGCCTAGTTAACGATTAAGACACTTCGCCTAAAAATGTACCTGACTGAATCATTGAACAAGCTTCTTGGCTCTCGGTCAGCTCAAACTTATTTCAAAACAATAATACTACTAAGAATTTCTGATTAAATACAAGTAATCATATGCAGGTTTTCAATGTTATTTAAGAATTTAGGGCAACGAATATGAAAATAAGTTTTGCTGTTTTAGTATTTATAAAAACTTTTCATTTCATAGCGAATAAAATCACCTATTGAGCTGACATTAGAAATGAAAACTGGGAAAAGCTGGTGTCGAAAAAGGGACCTTGTGTCCAGGGTCCCAAATTTGCATTGGAGCTCGACATAACTGTAAAAAACAAACGATTCACAGCTGCATACGAATTATAATTTAAAACATGTCACAAAGTTCAAATTAAAAACACAGCCAACAGTACGTTGGAAAAGTGTCAATTAACAAAAATGAACTGATTCAGAAATTTTTTTTTTTCAAAATATTATACCTCAAAACTAATTCATTTCAGCAATATTTCATGATTGTCTTTCTTCGTAAAATTACCAAAATTCGAAAAAACTGGGACAATAGGGAAATCTTAAAATTTAATCTTCGAAAAAGTCAATTACGTTTCAGATTCAAAAGTAACACCGCGAAAAATCAAAAAACTCAATTCGTTCATTGACACTTAATCAAAATCACTCAAAAATCACATCACAACCCACGCGAAATATAATGTACAGCTAAATAGTTCAAGAAACAAGCTAAATCAGTTTATGATAATTAGCGGGCATTAATCTACTGCAGTTGGATTGATCTGGAATCGACATCAGGATCTGGAGTTAAAATCAACTTGCGAGCATCAGCTTCATAGTTTCACTTCATCCTCAACGCCAATTTCTGTGCATTTTCTCTCGAAACTTCTGGGTAAAGAGCTGTCTTGTTGCACTTACTTTGCTTGTACTTGTTATGTACAGCCATACAACTCGACCTTCCCGCATTTTTCACCAACTCCAGCATCTCAACCGCCGTGTCGACCAAATCCGCTTCCGAATAGGTGCTGTAATGCTCCAACGTCGAATCCCAGCAGTTAGCATAGCTAGATACAGCCGCTAACCTTAGGGTCAAATACAAAGCACAGGCCGCCACTTTGGATGGCAAAACTTGTGTGAACGCAATCTCTACAAACGACAGCTCGATTATGTACTTCGCAATACAGTGCTTCTTAGGAGCAACATCGCCCGCTTTACTGAAGCGCCTCAGGAAAAACAAAGCATGCATTGGCATTACATCACATTTCAGCTTCTTTAAAATGTCCACTTCTAGAGCCATGATCTCGTCTTTTGAGGCCTCATGATCTGTAATGTACACAAAATCTCCCACCGCAGGTACCGAAACCTCTTCAACCTTGCAAGCCAGTAACATGGCTGTTACCCCTATGGCGTGTAGTTGCTTCTTAGTAGCTTCGGGTGTAGCATACAGGTACCTGTCGACGAAGTTCACAGTGAGGTAAATAACTTCAGGCGATAACCTGAACTTGTCATGTACTTCCACTAATCTGTTGATTAAGATGGCTCTGAATCGAGGAGTTACAACATGATCGTCGAGGTAGTTACTGGGGACAATACTGTTACCTTCTGTTTTAAAAGCGTACCAAAACACATCGTTCACGTACGTGCTACAGAATTGGAATTTGTCTGCATCTTCCGCATCAATATTTCTCACGTGTTTCTTCACCGGGTCTATATTTTCTTGATTTTCACCTCGAGGAGCTCTATTTTGGGTTCGCAATGGCTTTCTGCTAAGATGGTAGTTCTGACTCACACGAAACGTGGCCATTTGCTGCGTGATATCTCCCAATGGAAGTTCCTTTCTCGTAGTAGTCATTGAGCTCATTAATTCTGAAGAAATTCGGAAACTGAAAAAGTGTTTCAACGAATCTAACAATATCGACTGACTGGTTTTAAGATCAAATGCAGCCAATTAATTAGAACACTCTGGCCTTCGAAGGTCAACTAAAACTACACACAGCATATATAGAGAGTTGCAAAAGTTCGGACAGACAGAATTAATTAAAAATTTCCTTTTTTAGGTAAACTTGAGACACAAATTCGGATTGAAAAATTAGACTTTGCATGATAAATTTTCTGAAAATAGGTCAATTGCGCTTTTAAATTAGTTCTGTCTGTCCGAACTTTTTGCTACTAACTACAATAAGCTACAATGGAACAGACAAAAATAATTTAAAAGAGCAATTTGGCAGTCTTGATGTGAAAATTAACTTTTGAACTCAGAAGTTGTCTAGGTCATTTGCTATTTTGAATTCATTTTGTCTGTTCCAACTTTTTGCAACTTGTTCAAATGTCCAAAGAAAAAAATCAAACAGAAAAAATTACCGAATAAAAAAATAACAGCTAAAGCTTATTTGCAGACAACGTATATCCCAAAGTCAAATGGATTCAAATTTCCATGCAAATTTTATTTACATAATTGTTGTCTAAAAAATTAATTTTTGAACGCAGTCATTATTGTCTAAAGTTTTAAATAACAGCTTAAGCTTATTTTTTAGACAAAAGTTGTCTGAAAAATTAACTTTTGACCACTGAAATTGCCAGAAAAATTCCATTGAAAAACAATTAAGCAGAACAAACTTCCGAATCAAAAAAACTAACAGCTAAAGCTTTTAAATAAAAAAAATTGTCAAAGTCATTTGCAATTTGTCTGTAATGTACCTAGAAAATAATCTATAGAAAACTGTTCCAACTATTTGCAACTTGTTCAAGCAATTGTCCTTTTCAAAAATGTCCATAGAAAAAAAATTAAACAGAAAAAATTTCCCAATAAAAAAACAGGTAACCTGGATTCAACCTTCCATACAAATTTTATTCAAAATTAGCAGATTTGCGCTTCCTAATTCATTCTATCTATCCGAACTTTTTGCTACTAATAATATAGAGAATAGCAAAAAGTTGGAACAGACAACCTTAATTACACAGAGGGGATAAGGAGCTTTGCATTCCTTGCTATACAACCCAGGGGAGCATTGCAAACTAGCTAATAGAAAATAGGACGAAACGAAATTGAAAAAAAGAGAAAATGAAAATCAATTCAGGCACAGAGGCGAAACGGAGCTTCGCAACACTTGCAAAACAATAAAAAAAACTGCATTTCAAGATGTTGATAGAAAAAAAGGAAGTCATCTTACAGCAAATTTAAGCTGAAAAAATGAGTAAAAAAACTACATCTATAAAAACTTTACATCTTTGGCTCGCGTGTTCATAAAGAGCCTTAGAAGCATTGATAATCAATAATCGAGCGTCAGCTTAGGCGAAAAAATATTGTGTCGAACCTCATAAAGCAGAAAACGAAACGAATTTTCCGAGGATAACTTAAGGTGTAAATAAAATTGGACGTAGCGACAAATGCAGGACAGTTTCCACAAACTTGTTCATCGATTGATTCCAAAATCTCGGATTTCGGAGAGTAGTTTTCCAAAGAAGTCACAGTTTCAAAGAACAGTAAAAAATGACGTTCCTGAAAAGCATAAATTTTCAAGAAAAAGTTTTGAAAATAGGCCATTATGAATGGTAGCTTTTTTGAACCCGAGCTTTCGATTGAATTCGAATCTCAGATTTGGGAAAGTAATTATCGTGAAACTGAAAAACTCCAAAAAATGGGTCAAGTATGTAGATAAAGTTGAAAAGAGGGGATTTCGTAGGCAGACAAGGGAGTGAGCTCTTTTTCTCTCAAAACCTATTTTTCAAAAGTCAGTCACTTTTGAGAAAAACGAAAAAAATCCAAACCGTCTCGAAAAACTTGTTACAAAAAACTGATACCATATATTTTAATAATACCTATTTTTATCAATCAAGGACTGTTCGAACGAAAAAATCCTTCTCGATAGAAAAAATGCGCGAAAAGCGTCGCAGATAATATATAAATTTCATTTGAACAAAAAAGGCAAATCAGCCGACGGAAATAAGAACGAAACCCACAAATCCGAAAAGTTAACAATTTCAAATTAGACAAACAGAGGCGAAGCGGAGCTTCGCACCCTGCAATGCAACACAAACATAAAAAAGTCAAAAAAAATTTAGATGTTGAAAAAAATTAGGTGAACCAAATATTTTGTATGTCTCGATAAAAAACTACTAGCCCAGCTAAAGCTGGAGATGCGTCTTTGAAATTGAACGAATTTGCTATACTGATGCGGCACGAAAAATGGAGATAAAATTCTCTTACAAAGAATTCAAGAACCGCCGCTATTGCAGAAACAATTATCGCAACCCATTCTTTTAATGGCAATTTTCATCTCAGATTTGATGAAAAAGATATTCCAAAATCAAAAAATTTGTCTACAAACAGCAAATTATGGTCGCTTAAGCAGAGAAGATTTCCGAAGCCGGGTTTCTCGGTTGAACAAAACCTGAGAATTGGACCAGCAGTTTTTCGCGTAAAGTCAATAAGTTTCCAAAAAACTATCAAAGATTCAAAACTTTGACTTGTTTGAAGGTCATAACTATTTTCTTCAACAAACTGGCATAGCCTATTATAAAAGTAGACTTTTAACAAACCAACGAGAGCAACAAATCAAAAATTTGACAATTTCAAGAACCATAGCTTTTTGTGTGAAAAATTACGCATAAACCTTATGCAGAAGGGATTCATGCAACCTGCAATTTGATTGAACCCAATCTCTCAAATTTTGGAGGGTAGTTTTCGAGAGGTGTCAAACTTTCAAAAAACGGTCACAAAATCAAAATTTTTACTTTTCCAAGGGCCAAAACATTTGGAGTCGAAAATTGGGCGTATTCGCATGAGCTTTCGGAAACCCATTCTGAGAATTGAACCCAAAAGCACGGGTATGGCAGGGTAGTTTTCGAGAATAATGAAAAAGTTTTCAAAAAACGGCCAAAAAATCAAAACTCCGAACTTTTAGAAGGCGATAAATTGCGGCAGAAGAACTTCCTACTACTCGTTATCTTCTTGAACCCAAAATATCGGATTTGAAGGTAGGTTTTTGAGAATAGTCAAAGATTCACAACGGTCAAAAATTTGACTACTCCGCTGGCCATACCTTTGCGTGCAAAAATGGTATTTGGTCGTAGCCACTTATGCAGCGGAGCTTTTCAAAACTGTTCAAATCATTGAAACCATATTTGAGAGAGGGTCGTTTTTGAGAAAACGAAAAAAAAATCAAAAATATGGGTAACATAATCAGCCACACTTTTTCGAAGGCTGTACACAGAGGGGCAAATAAAAAAAGACTTTAGGAGAATACGCATGCACAAAGAGGAGTAAGCGGTCTTTCAATTGATACCCCCTTTTTGGGGGTATCAATCACGCGAAGTGTCTGAGAAAAAGTGTCTGAGAAATTCTAAAAAGAAAAGAATTAAATTTAAACAAACCGATTGATAAACATACAACTAACTTGAAAAAAGCGGAGGGGAGTCTAAAATTGAAACGACCAAAAACTCTTTCATACGTCCGATGAAAAATAGGCCGAGATAATTTTGGCCGAGGAAAATTTTTAAGCAAAACAAAAGACGAAGAAGGAAATACGAAGTCAAGGTAACTAAATTTACAAATTATAGGCGTAAATCAAACACTAGGTTACTCGGAAAATCATATTAGCACGAAATTTTTTTTCGAAAATGAAAGACAGCTCTTTATAAATACTTCTGTCAGCACAAAATTTTTTCGTCTTTTTTAGTTACCTGCAAAAACGAAACCATCGAATAGACAATTAATTAAAAGCAATTTACTATGTTGACGCAGTTTTGCTAGTTTACTAGTTTGTTGATTTGACGCAGGCTTTCTAATTTAACGCAGTTTTGCATGCCCCAGTGCTACTCTTACAGCAACAATCAATGAGCTCTAGAAGCTAATTAACAAATTGATACAAAACTTAGATAGCACAGATTAATACAGGCGAAGCGGAGCTTTGCACAACCTGCAATACAACGCAAGCACAGCATTGCAAGCTAGCGAATATATATTTTTTCGAAATTCAGAAGACAAACTAACTTATTTTTTAGTCAATCAGCCACTGCCCGTGAAGTGACACAATTTAAGGCAACTAAAACCAAAAACATAAGCCGAAAACACTAAGCCTGAACGAAATTTATAAACAAAACAAAAAAAATGCACAGAGTCAGGGCTATTAATTTATAAGTTACAGGAATACATCAAAAACACTCATCGAAACAAAATCATCGAAAGGTAACTATGTAGACAAAAATTGAGCAAACGCCCGTCAAACCGAAAATATGTCAAGATGATTTTAAAATGATTTTTGGAATCCCAAGTTTTTTGTCCTACAAAAAGGACTCAAACGCATTAAAACCTAGTTTTGTTTTCAAACGACGTAATTTAAGGCAACTGATCTGATGAAACAAACAGAATTATTGCAGCCGATGGAAGCTTTAACGCAAACAAAAAGAAAAGCAAATAATTCAAAAACTTGAAACAGGTAGTTGTAACATTATACATTCCGATATATTACTCGTCACTTTGAAAAATCTCAATAAACATAACAATTAAAATTAACTTAACCAGCCGATACATGTTGATCTGAAAATAGATTTTTTCAAGCAAAAATTTACCGAAAAACTTGTTGATTTATTTTTTGAAAAAAATTAGCGATATTAAAAAAAACAATGTGGTATTAACTAGAAGCTACTAACAAAAAAACTTCTTATCTATGACGAGAATTTGGACTCAAAGTAAAAAAAAGAAATGCAGACCAACTGAAAAAGGGGACCAGAAGCCACGTAGCCATCGAAAATCTACGTCCGTTTTTCGTCACAAACAAAAATATTTGATAAAACGAAAAACCTGAATTACACTGCTCAAAACAAAATTCAAAAGAACTATATACAACGAGAGAAAAACAATAAGTCCATTATTGTTAAAAGATCGAACAATAATACCAAAGAATTTGC